TTTTTTGTAACTTAATTTAGCATTGTCGTAAACCAATGACTTCCTGTCCTTCAGTATCCTTTAACAACACCCCACTTATTCCTTTTTAACAAATCCGTTACCTAGGACTCCATCTGGACAAACGTCTAACTTGGAATCCTCATACCAGACTGAAACGACAAGAAACAGCTCGACGTTTCCGACTACTTCAACACTTATTAGACAAACGCTCTAACCTTCCAATCAATTATAAAAGACTCATTTACATGACTATAATAAGGCCTATTTGGACTTACGAAGTTGAGCTATGGGGCTCCACCAAACCTTCAAATTCCTCTCACATCCAATCCTTACAATCCAAAATCCTTCGTAAAATCCTAAATGCTCCTTACTTTGTTACAAATAAAATTATCCATAATGACTTTAATGTTGCTTATGTATCAGATTTGACCCAATCCAGATATCTGTCCTTCCATAATAAACTTCATAACCATCCCAACCCTCTTGTCTCTATCCTTGCTTCCTATTCGATTCCTGATAACCCTCCGAGGCGTCTGAAAAGAAGATGGCCACGTGATCTTCTAATATAGACATATTATTAGAGTGCTACCAATAGGTAGTTTCTCAACATGTGTTCCATGTCATTATATCCATGTGCGAATTTACCAGATGTATTTTTTGTATACAGTTGTAAATATCATATAAATAAATAATAGTAAATTTAGTATTGTATACTTCATATTTTTTTTTCTATTAATATTACTTATATTTCAGAAAATGGCAAAATATTTTTATGATTGTTATCATGCCTAAAAAAAAGATATATTTGAGATACTCGAAAAGGTCTGATTGATTACTCTGATTAACTATATATGTAGTTAATCACTATACCTCATAGTATATAGTTAATCACTATATATGTAGTTAACTATATCTCCCGAGACAACCTGTATAAATAATTTAATATAGAAAAGCTCTTGTACTTGGTTTTCTGTTGGTTGTATACTATACAAACAAAAAGTAAATAATATTTATTATTAACAATAATATAAATGCAATGTATAAACATTATTATAAAACATTTAAAAACATTTAATATTATAAAACATGTTATAAACATCATAAATACATATTATACATATATTCCTTTCGAATTTTTGAAAATTATATTATTTCATTGTTTTTTAATTTACAAAACATAATACCATACATTGAAATGGATAAAAATTGTTTTGTTTTTTAGTTTTTTATTTAAAAAAAAATTGAACAGCCTTTTGAAAATTATGCGTTTTCTTCGGGCTCGCAGTTTGTGGAACAATGTTGTTCACAAGCTCGCACGAACTGCTCGTAGACGATCTCGTTGGGAGATAGCGAGTCCGAGCTAAAAGCCTTTAGGAAGATGTCAGCCTCTCTGGAAGATAAGTGTTGGAGGACGTCTATTTTCTGAAGGACTTTGAAGAACTCAGTAGGTCCGATCCTTCCGTTGCCTTTGGAATCCAACTCCTAAAAAAAAAATACAATTAAGGAAAATATGGTCTTCGATATCCTTTATCAAATGAATGGCCAACGTTGTCCCCTTTGTATTTATTTATTTTTTGTAAATAATTCTATGGACCCAAGAAGCGGTGGTAAACCTGTGTGATCTCACCGACATAACGCATGTTTTACACGAGATTATTTACCGTTCAAGTCAAGAATTTGAACCAGCTTCGTTTTGTACATGAAGGCTAACTTATTTATCTTTTAGCTCACATCTGCTTAAATACAATGGGCTGGTATTAATATTTATATATGTAAAATAATATACAAATAATGTGAAAGAGCTATCAATTTTTTCTTATTTTACTATTTATAAAAGGCTCTTAAAAACCGTCGTAAATAGCTTCATCTCATAATAACCTACAAATATTTTATCTAATAAAAGTCTCGGAAGTGGGGCGTTTTCAGTCTGGAAAACTTTGTCTATTTAATTAGTTACTAAAAACTCGTAAATACCCATTTGCTTTGTACTTGGATCGTAAGATAATTTTAGCATTAAGTCGAGAAAAAAGGAGCCCTTAAAAAATATTGAGCCGTTTGACATTTCAAAATAACGAGGTTATATAGGACAAACGGTCAAATATTTTTATCGATTTTTTGATCAAATTATCTTACGATCCAGGTGGAAAGCTTATATATATAATAGACCGTGGTACAGACCCCTTTCTATCACATTATTGACATCCTGAAACCTAATGAATAGCTTCATCTCATCGAAACCTACAACTACTTTATTTACAAAAAATATAATTTTTGTAAATAAAGTTTTCAATTTGGAGATTTGGATAACTTTGTGTATTTAATTAGGTACTAAAAGCTCGTTAATATCCATTTTCTATCTACTTGGATCGTAAGATAATTCAATCACGAAATCGAGAAAAAAGGTCCCTTTCAAAAATATTGAGCCGTTTGGCATATTTAACCTCGTTATTTGGACATTTTGGGGAAGTAGCTCACGTCAAACGGCTTAATATTTTTGAACGCCACTTTTTTATCGATTTTATGCTGAAATTATCTTACGATCCAAGAGGAAAGCAAATTGGTATTTACGAGTTTTTAGTACCTAATTAAATAGACAAAGTTTGCCCCTCTGCAGATTGAAAACACACCAATTTCAAGAGTTTTTGTAAATAAAATAGTTGTAGGTTACGATGAGATGAAACTATGGTCTGTACCACGGACTGTTAGGTTTCAAAATGACAAGTAAAATTTAATTAAACCGACCGAAGTAACTCATATTAACTATTAAACGTTTTGCCAATTCCAAATTTAAAGAAATAAGATAACAGCAATATCACATCGAACATCATTGACCTCAAATATCCTTCAACCAATAATTCTCACGAAGATGAGTACTTCATCCCTATCCTCTCTAGTATGGATATATTAACATTTTATGGCCGAATCGATTTTTACAATTTAATTTATGTCCTATGTTACTACTATAAATATTTTAAATCTCGAAGTCGCTTAGCATAATTGATTATTGAATTATTAACCACAGAGCTGTTATATTGCATATATTTTGTTTCAACAGCCCGTGTAAGAATAATGATCAGTATAGATCTGATTTTGTTATATGATATATGTACCAGTCTATTCTATTTAAGTATTTAAAGGTAAAACAAGATATTTTATCCAATGCAATACGCTTATTATACAAGTATAACTGTATTCCAGTTCTACAATCTGATTCTTATTCCTTTGTCAAATTTGAATTTACCGCCAGACTTACTCCTGTAACATTAGGAAATCCCACCTTAAGTGTTACCACCTAAAATTTTCACGTACATACATACACACGTGTTAGTTGACAATCAGTATCCTTAAAGCTATTTAACAGAAAGTAACTGTTGGTGTGTTGTTTATTTACTCGTCTCATTTTTATCGCCCTATAAAATCATCTTGTATATTTTACATGACCTAATAATCTTCAAGGAAAAGTTTCCTTTTTATGTTAAAGATAACTAGGGTTTAGCTTAAGATAACTTATCAAATTAGTAATGTTCATAGCTTTGCTATTTTTATCTTAGCTGCCGGCAAAAGAATCTACTTCACTTCTAAAACTCAGGGCCGTGTCCTTACTCTATACTTTTTAAGAGGTTCAACGCATGGGGAAGTTACTCATTTTAAAATTATTTTAATCGAAATATTTTAAGTAAACAATAGAAATTATACAGGATGTTTCAGAGTTAAGTGGCCAAACTGCAAAAATGAACTATGGACCTCAAAACAAGAAAAACATTTCTTCGGAAAGCATATCCGCAAATTTTCCTTTATTTATGTTTATTTAAGTTTAAATTATCCTTTTTCGTAAAGAATTAAGGTCATTGACCGGACTTGCATATACGATTTATTTAATGTCAACCCCAAACAAAAAAATCAGGTATAGCGAGCGTGCAGGCCAAGCCACTTGTCCTGCACTGCCAATCCATTGATTGGGATATAGAATATGATTGAGGAAGTCCGGTCAATGACCTTAATTCCTTACAAAGAAGGATAATTGAATCTTACGAAACAATAAAACATATCCAATGGCGTTCTTCCACTGCTGCTGTTGAAGAAAGATGCCGAGCCTGTCTTAATGCTCAAGAAAATCACTTTGAACGAGATTTAATATGAATGTTAATGTTTACATTTAATTAATAAAGTATTTAGAATAAATTAATAAGCTTTATATGTTTCATATAATTTAAATAATTCATAACAACGGAGATCTTTAGGTGTGAATATCTCCTTAACAAAGCGTTTGCGGAAATGTTTATTCCTCAGGAAAACAGAAATAATGTGTTTCTTATTTTTCTTTGTATTTGCGAAATGTCTGGAATCCACTTAACATTTTCAGTTTTCAAACAGAAAATTTATATACATCACATATGATAACGAACTTACACATGGTGCGATATGGAATTAACAAAATATGTGAATACTTTAAAGACAATACAATTTCTTTTCTCAGTATTTTGTGATGAAATAATCCAAAACTTTTATGAGTCTCACTGGGTAATTTTAACCACCAAAATTAAAAGTAGCTATACACCAGCAAGCAGTCAACTCTAACACATTATTTTCCTTTTTGCTTCGCCATGGTTGTGTTATTTTTTTCTTTAAATTAAAATAGAACTTTTTTTCGATAAAAAACAACAACAAAGACATACTCAAATCTTAAGGTTTTTCAGGCAAAAATATTTTTTTTTTTTTACATATTGAAATCCTTGGTTCACATCTATACACACAATATGTCATGAATCTTATAAATACGATGAAAGGTTAAATTGGAAGGTAAAAATATTTTATAGATATAAATTGTAATGGAATTAAGTCTAGGTTGTAAATGTCCTAAGTGTAAAATGATCATGGAAGAGTAGATTCCAAACGGAAACAAAACAACTCAGCCAACAATACAACATTATTAGAAGGTTTAATGCTATAACAAACTCCGTCAGAAGCAGGAAAGGACTACGAGAGCTGTGTGAGAACGTACTTGTGGTATCATCGAGAATCTATCCGCCACCCCTCTGGAACTTCTTTGGTTCTCAAGAATTTAAAATCAACTTATTGCGAGTGAATCGGGATTCTTTTGTATCACTTAAGTGCACAATTCTTTCAGAGTAGTCGACTCTTTGATTCATCTGACCATCTGTAGCTGTGACCTCAATTAAAAAGAACTCTTTGGGGGTTTGTTTACCCATTATGAGAGAGCATAGCAAACGAAAATCGAAGTGATGTAATTAGAGCCAATTAACATCCCAATTTTAACTGAAAAGAACCGATGTTGATCTGTAAATCGCGATGCCGGTAAATACTAACTGTTAATACGTAGTAAATTTTCGTGACCATGTGATCTTGACCTACTAATTAAGGTGGAGTGACACTTGTAGAGTGGTACCATCGTTTGAATAAAACCTTCAATCGTTACTAATGGTAGAGAAAACGTGAAACTTACCTTGAACAGTTTTAGACATCCTCTTTGGGCTGTGGGAGCAGCCTTCTGCAGTGCGGAGGTGAGGAGCTGCCTCTCCGGGAAGTTGAGGGTGTTGAGGCAGTATTGGGTGTCCTTGGCCTTGCCACAGTCGCCAGCGTCCGGACGGTACTTCCCCTCGCGGCGGCCGTAGACATGAGGAGGGAACACCTGGCAGGGGACGAACGAGCCGTGGCCTTTCGAGTCCATCAGTCGCCCGTGCTGGTAGCACACCTTTCCCTTGACGATGACTGTCTCAGGCACTCCTCGCACCACCATCCCTTCGAAAATGTTGAAATCGCACGCGTGGTTATGGGTAGTAGCTGATATCTTTTTAGACTTGTCTGGATTCCATATGACGATGTCGGCTTCGGACCCGATTTCGATGCAACCTTTCTTCGGATAGAGGTTGAATATCTTAGCCACATTAGTGCTCGTTATTTCTACAAACTTCTGGGGATCAATTATATCTGTGTTGACACCTTTATCCCAGATGACGGACATCCTGTCTTCTAAACCATTTAATCCGTTGGGGATCTTAGTAAAGTCTTCCTTGCCTAATGCTTTCTGGTTTTTGTTAAATGTACAGTTGTCGGTTCCCGTGGTTTGCAAAGCTCCTGAAGCCAGTGCCTTCATGAGCGCCAGAGGTGTCGACCTGGTCTTCCTCAGAGGTGGACTCATGATGTGGGCGGCAGCTACTTCAAAGGAACACTTGCCATCCGGAGCAACAGTGCCGAGTCCAGCAGCCAAGGCCTCCCCGAACAACGTAGTCTGACCAGCGTTACGCCTTTCCTCTATGACTTTTGCTGCCGATTCGCTCATGACGTGAACAACGTAAAGTGGACATCCAGTCTGAGATGCTATCATGGCTGCTCTATGCACTGCCTCTGCTTCGACTTCTTCAGGTCTCGACATCTCGTGCCCTTCCGGTCCGGTCACGCCTGCTTGCTTCAGTTTGTGCACATTCTTCTCTATTACGTGTCCGTTTTCAGCGTGAACCATCGCCACAGCCCCGAGTTCCTTGCATCTTGCAAATGCTTCGTATAGCTCACCGTCGTCTACCATGAACATATTCTTGTACGCCATAAATAGCTTGAAGGAGTTGACGCCATGCTGCGCACAGAGGAGTTCCATTTCTTTGCTGACAGTCCTAGACCACCAGGTGATTCCAACATGCAGTCCGTAATCACAACACACCTTTGGATCAGCCATTGATCTGTACTTGTCGTACACTTCCAATAAAGATTGACCAGGAAGAGCAATTGCGAAGTCGATGACCATGGTGGTACCGCCAGCGATAGCAGCTCTTGTCCCTTTGTAGAAATCATCGACTGACTTGGTGCCCATGAATTCGAACTCGAGATGGGTGTGTGGATCTATGCCTCCGGGTATGACGTACCTGCCATCAGCCATGATGACCATAGTGCCTGGAGGAGCAGCCAAATCGTATCCGATGTCCGTGATCACGCCATCTTCAACAAGAACATCTACGTTTTCCGTCTTATCGGCATTTACAACTTTTCCTCCTTTTATTAAAAGTTTCGGAGGTTTTGAGGCATTACCTATAATTGAAAACATATCCATTATAAAAGACAAAGAAGTATAAGCTATATGTAAACAAATACAATCAAGAATACAAAAGGAATCACATGTCAAATTGAGTTTTCATTATTAGTAATTACAGTAAAATACAGCAGTTAAAACAGAAAAGATAAACAACATTTTATGAAGAATTATTGTGTTGTATGAATTAATTTAATATATAATTTTTATATAAGCCATTGTGTGAAGTACGGCTTTGGGCTACTTCACAGCACTCGTATAGTGTTATGTGTTGTATATGTAATCGTTAAAAAAATGTTTCAACAATACAAATTAAAAAAAAAAATTTTATACCAAGTGAACAACATCAATGCCTTCGCAAAGGAACACTGCGATTAAAACTTATACACCTTAAGTTAAAGAACATATAATATATTTTTTCTCTCTATGATTTCAAAATTTGTAAATATTAGATGCAATTATATAACAAAACGAAGTATTTCATCCCAAACAATTCAATTTATAAATTATATTTAGTTAATCCACTAGATCTTTCTGTATCCTACTCCCATTTACCTGATATACGCAAATTGAAACGAAAATTGCCAAGAAATCTTCTCTTTCAATAGTAACAAAATTGAAGCAAATAATGCAAAATTCGTAGCAAATAATCAATACGTCAAATTTGCTACATGCAGTAGTGCAAATGTTAAAGAATATTAAAATAAAATAAAATACGAATATTTAGTTAATTTTTATAATTATAAACAATAAACTTAAACTACATAATGCTTATGAATCCTGGTGATAATTATGGAGAAAATAAGATGTGTAAATAATCATTTTTGCATTTTATACAAATCGAAATATATATAATAGTCAGGACGCAGTCATTTTATGATTTTATTATTACCGACGTTTCATTCAAAAAGTATTAATTGAATATTCAGCTATAACCATTAATATTCCATTATTCCAAATAATGCTTGATATATTGTTTGGTAACCTCCAAGAATATAGACAATTTTTATTGATAAACTCCACTTTTTTGTTAAAAAAAGACGAATTTATCTTGAAGGGAGCTAGATAGATGTTATCTAATCTCATTCAATGCCATTGACCTTATCAGTAACGATTTTGAAAATTTTTATCGACATTATTAAGAATACAATAAGAGATTTTTGCACTATGCCAGCATATTTACGTGTCCTACACGAGTGTATGTATACATGTATATATATAAGATTCCACGCACCTTTGTAGCCTCTCCGAATCGAGGTAAAGGGTTAAAAATTTGTATGTAAACTTGAACTAAGTGTCTTTTGATGACCTAAATTTAATTATCCTATACCTCTGGCACTTTGATAATTCGAATTCGGAAACATATGTTCAAAAACTTACAAAAATATACAAGAAAATTAGCTACCAATTTATCTGATTTCGATATGTCTTGCAAAGTCCTCAAGTTCATTAATGAACCAAATAACTTCCATGATCTGTTTACGGAACAAAAATATTAGATGAAAACTAGCTTAGTGGTGTTACTACGCAACTCAAGCTTTGTAATCGTTTCCCGATAATAATAGGTTTTTGGTTTAGGATTATTTTCTAGCAAGAGCAAACACATAAATTATTCGATGCATTTCGAGCCTAATTTCTCATTTATAAAATTTTTTCGTACCTTCACTGACCCTCGAAATTGAATTAGACGTTTGAAGTTTTTTATACAAATTAAATTAGAGTAGTAGTTTTGCCGAAACCGAATTTTAATTTGGCGGTAAGACAGACTTACAGTTTTACTGGGAGTTTCAACCTCATCCTCTGCACTCCCCAGACCTTGCCCTATCCGATTATTACCGTTTTTTTTTTTTTTTTTTGTTGAAAAATTCTCTCTGATAAATGTCACAGATCTGAAAGCGAAGAAAAACATTATCTCGATAAATATTTTGTAAATGAATCTCAAAAATTTTTGAAAAAGTGTATAAGAAGTTTCCTTAGAGATGGAAAATGTATTAGAGAAGAACTATTCTTATATAATAAAGTAAATCAACAAATATCTTCAACAACAAATTAAAAAAAATAATAAGGAACTTATGAGACAATATATAATATATATTATTGCATAAGTGAGGAATCCATGGCTCCCGTCAGTTTTGCACGGCCTTTATCAATCTAACTCTATAATTAATTATTTAACTTACGAAAATTTGAAAATTAATTGGATTAAATATACGAGATTAGGGCAAGAATATGATAAGCCACAATTATGAAGAAAATTATTTGTGCAAAATGCTACTTTGCGTATTTATAAAACCATATATGGCGATGGTCTGGGTACCTAATAATATATAGATTGACTGTAACAAATCATGTTCTAAATATATTTAAATTACTGTTAATGAGGTCTTTGGTTAGTGTGTTTTAATAGCTTGACAAGGAATTCTAAAAAACATAAATACTTAATTTATACGCAAAAATAAACAAAACAATAATAAACCATTTAGGATATTTTTTAGTTCATACGTCCATTAATTGGTAGTGATTAGTCGGCCTTGAGACTGTTGAACTTTTTTTAAGTTAAGAGAGCTGTCCAAATAAAAAATGGATTCTTGTATCTTTTATAAGAAATGTTGTTCAGGAAGGAAATTTTATTTCAATATCTATATTGAATTAGTGTTTAGTTTAGTGCATATAAGTTTGGGTCTATATTTTCAGTTTATAGAATGTTGCTGATGTTAAAATCACAAAGATATTAATTTCTTTGGCCCTAAAATTAGTTTATATATTTTTTTCTTTTTAATTTACTATCTTTAAACATTATTTCTCAAAGGCATTTTTGTCGCTATGCCATATTTTCATCAATTCTTCATAAAATGATATGATTGAGCTATCATTTTGAAGTTTTTCTTCCCATTCAGATGGGACAAATAGTCACTTCTCCCAGGGAAAAAAATTATGAACTGTACCCATGGTTACTTTAAAGATTACTAAATCCTCTACAGGACAAACTGAACATTATTAGCTGAGACACAGGCCTTTATAATTCGTTAACATTTTGGTTTAAATAAATAATGAAATTTTTAACGTTCTTTTCCTTGGTCGATTAAAATAACCGAAAAAATAAGAAACGATTCCCTCATCTTATGATACGTTGAATTATATAATTTCTTTATTATTTAGCTATTTGTTCACTGACTAATATTTTTTGCGAATTATCCGCACGAGCCAACTAGTTCTATTGGGTCTCATTTATTCAAGTATTACCAGTCACTTATAGTAACAGTTACTTTTAGTAAAACAACAGTTATTACTTAAAATATATATGTCATAAAAAATAAATAAATTGAAAATTAATATTAAGCAACAGATAAATACAAAATAGGTTAACTTTGAGAATAGGAAATATATATATATATTTTTAAACTTATTTATTGGAAAATATTACATTCTGTCTCAAGGACATTTATAATAGTGTTCAGAGATCACACTCACACTCTATGTACAATAAATAAAATAAATTATACAGAAAATGCAAATATTTAAAAATATGAATCTTAAGGAGGTCAATATTTTCTCATTACCTGTTAAATTACGTGTAATGTCATCGGAAACTTTTCCTGTTTCTGCATAATATTCCTTTTTTCGTTATCATTTTGATTCGCATTTTAATTTTATGAAGTTAATTTTTTTTTTATTCACGTTATAACCTCATTAGCACCATCGCAATAATTTATTAAACTAAATTATTGGAAGCTGGTGTTTAATATCTTATGAAATTCTTAAAACAAATCGAGTTTTATCACCGAGTGTAGAAATATAAGAAATGACAATGACCTTTCGGGGTATAGACATTATAAAAATAAAAAAAAAAAGTATTTAATCATGTAAATTTGATAAATCATTAACAGTTCAAAATAAGTGAAAAAAAATTAACTGGCGATACTTAAGCGTAAAAAAGACCCGTTCTATTTATTATAATTTTTAATGAAATGAATCAAATGTATTTAGTACAACAAAATCTGTAACTATCTCTTAGTTTATAAAATTAATTCACTTGATATATGATGTTACATGAACTCTTCACGTGATATGAACATGTGTAAACAAAATAGTATTTATAGATTGCCTTACCTTCGGCGACATTTTGCGCAGCGTTGTTATCCATCGATTCCACTCAACTACACTACACTACTTGAGACTGACTCTTCGGTTCCTAGAGACTGATACCTACGAGCCATCTGATTGGACAGTTCGGGATGATTATATAAGAACCCGACCTTGCCGCTGACGAAAGTTGTTTCTTTGAGAACTCGATGCATCTGGGATTCCGTGTGTACGATACTTTCTCTCCGCTATCGCTTTGTTTTGAGCACTTATGGTACATATTTTTGTCTTAATGCACTATATAGAATAGGCTGTGACCAAATTTATTTTCTTGGAATGTAGTAGTTTGTGAAAAAGAAGCATTAGTTCTTAAAACATAATTGCTAGATCAACTATTAGTGGGAGGAATCTGAGTGGTAATATTCATTTCAGGGATTCGGATGCAGGGTTTTATTTTGATGATATTCTGTTTTTTAAAATCTATTTATAAAGATAATTACTCTGGTAAAAAAAGGAGAAAGAAACTTCATAAAGTTGTGTTTTTAAGTAGATCTTGAAAGTAATTAATTAATGAACTTGTTGGTCGATTTTAAATCAATCAATATCGGGTTCGCTAAGCCTTTTTATTATTAACATTGTTGCGTAAAAATATATAAATGCATAGATAATATATATCTAATATACACGGTGTTTCAGAGTTAAGTGGCCAAAGTGCTAAAATGAACTAAGGACCTGAAAAAAAGAAAAAAAATTTCCTCTGAAGTTATGTCCGCAAACGCTTTGTTTAGGAGATATTCGCACCTAAAGATTTTCGTTGTTATGGATTATTTAATTTACACCCGATTAATATTAGCTATTTCTACACCACCACATTCCTCCTTTATTTGTTTCAATGTAATGAAAACTCCAAAAATCGAAAAAAATCAATACTCTTATAAGCAGTACATCTCTGGCACTATAATTTTAACAGGAAACTGAAAAGATAATTAAAATAAAAATTATAAACAAAAATGAGATTTTTAAGAAAAAAATTTCCTCTGAAGGTATGTCTGAAAACGCTTTCTTTAGGAGATATTCGCACCTAAAGATTTTCGTTGTTATGAATTATTTACGTTATACGAAATAAATAAAACCTTTTTATTTGTACTAACTACTTTATTAATTAAATGTAAACAATAACATTCTTATTTTTTTTTTTTTTTTTTTTTTTTATTATTGGTGATATTTACAACTGTATTACAAGTAAAAATACATTCAGTAAATGTGAACAAAGGAATAAAATAGCATGACATCACATGTTGAGAAACTACCCATTGGTAGCACTCTAAAAATGTATTTACAAAAGGAGATCTCGAGGCCATCTTCTTTTCAGACGCCTCTGAGGGTTGTCAGGGATCGAAGAGGAAGCAAGGTTAGAAACAAGAGGGTTTGGATGGTTCTGAAGTTTGTTATGGAAGGATAGGTATCTGGATTGGGCCAAGTCAGAAACATAAGGAACATTAAGGTCGTTATGGATGATTTTGTTTGTGACAAAGTAAGGAGCATTGAGGATTTTACGAAGGATTTTGGATTGTAAGGATTGAATACGAGAGGAATTCGATGGCTTAGTGGAGCCCCAGAGCTCAACTCCGTAAGTCCAAATAGGTCTTATTGTAGTCATGTATATGAGTCTTTTGTAATTGACTGGGAGGTTAGAGCGTTTATCTAGTAAGTGCTGGAGTAGTCGGAAACGTCGAGCTGTTTCTTGTCGTTTCAGTCTGGTATGAGGATTCCAAGTTAGACGTTTGTCTAAGTGGAGTCCAAGGTATCGAATTTGTTCAACAGGAATAAGTGGGGTATTATTAAAGGATACTGTAGGACAAGAGGACATAGGTTTACGACGAAGGGTAAAGGTGATTTGATGGGATTTATTGGAATTTATTTTTATTCTCCAGTTTTGACACCATTCTTCAAGGTTTGTGATGTGTGATTGAAGGGTTTGGGATGCAATTGATGGGTCGTTATTAACTGATAGGACACATGTATCATCGGCGTACGTGGTAATGACTGTGTTAGGATGGGTTGGGATATCAGCTGTATAAACTGTGTAAAGGATAGGACCTAGGATACTACCTTGAGGAACACCAGCGGACTGGGAAAAAAGGGATGAATAGGCATTATTATGATTTACTTTGAAGGATCTATCAGTAAGATAGGAACGGATAATGAGGAAGTATGTAGGGTGTAAGAATTTACGGAGTTTGTAAAGCAGTCCTGGGTGCCAGACTCGATCAAAAGCCTGTTCTGCATCGAGAAAGACTCCCGTGCAGTACATTCCGCGCTCCAATGCAGAGGAGACAACATCCACCACACGATGGCATTGCTGGATAGTGGAATAGGATCTGCGGAATCCAAATTGATGATCTGGGATAATGTGATTAGAATCTAGGATGGGGTATAGGCGTTTTAGGATGAGCTTTTCCAGGATTTTGCCTAGGATGGGTAAAAGGGAGATAGGGCGATAAGAGGATGGATTTTCTGGTGGCTTTTTGGGTTTATGTATCATTTTGATAATAGAGAATTTCCAAGGGTCAGGAAAGTATGTTGATCGCAGTACAGCATTATATATATAAGTAAGGAATAGAATGGCTTTCCGAGGAAGGAGTTTTAGGATCTGGGATGTAATTAGGTCGTGTCCAGGAGCTTTTCGGGAAGGTAACCTTTGAATGATGTCGGATATTTCTGAAGGATGAAAGGCTTTAGGTGGAAGAGACATTTGGAGTGGAATATCCAGTTCTGCTTCAATACATTCAAGGTGATTTGGGTTAAGAATATCGGGGTGTGGATTAAAGGTTTTAAAGAGGTGACGAGCAAAGATTTGTGATTTTTCTTCATCGGATTTGGACCAGGTTTGAGCTTCAGTAAGAAGCGGATGATTACAGTCTTTAAATTTCAGGACCCTTTTAGAGGTTGTCCATAGTGATTTGTCGGTAGGTGTAAGTTTTTCAGTAAAATTTAGTAAGTTTTGAATTTTGTATTTTTTAATTTCAGATTTTAGTTTGTTAGTCAGTTGGGTATAATGAGTTTTATCTGTTGGATATCTGGTTCTATGCCACTTCGATCTTGCTCTGCGTTTTTCCTTCAATAAGATACGAATATGCTGTGACAAGTCAGTCTTTTGTGAATTGTTAAACTTATTGATAAAAGTATTATTATTTATACTGTCTGTTATTGACGCTGTCAGTTTTTCAATGGCACCATTAATGTCGTCTTTTGTCTTTAGCGGAATTTTTAAGTCTAGTTTGTTTTCCAAATCATCACGAAATTCGTCCCAGTTTACTCGTCCTGTAATCAATTTAGGAGTTGATGGTTTAGGAGCATAGCTCGAATGTAGTGAAAGCAGAACTGGACTATGGTCTGAAGAAAGGTCATCAAGGGATTTGATTATGGTTTGTGAGGAGGAGATCTGGGAAGTTATAAATATATCTAGGATATCGGGACGTTTTTTGAGGGATGTTGGCCAATAAGTAGGACTCATGGGCGAAAGGATTGAATAATTGTTGGAAGTTGAAACACGTGATAGGATGTTACCGCGGGGGTTGGATGTTCGACAACCCCATCGTTGGTGTTTAGCATTGTAGTCTCCTCCAGCAATAAAGCGCGATCCGAGGGATTGGAATAAGGTATCAAGGAGGTTATAGGAGAGGGAAGCACCAGGAGGACAGTATACAGCTGAGAATGTGAGATGGAAAGGGCGAGTTGAAAGGACTACAGAAGTTGATTGAATGGCATCAGTTGGATAAGGGAATGGGGTAATGATTTATGTATAAGGATGCAAGAACCGGCATGGGAGGTATTATCTGGGTGATCAGTTCTATAAGTGAAGTAGTCACGTATGTAGAAATGTATTCGTTTAGTGAAGTGAACATTCTTATTTAAATTTTGTTTCTTATTTAAATGCCAAAGTGAAGGTATTTCCGCAAACGCTTTGTTTAGGAGATAGATTAGATAGAATACTAATATGGCCTATTATTCCTAACTGTATAAAAAATATTGGCAACTAAGATTTGATATTATTTGGAATTAACATTGGGAACTCTCAATAACATTTATCAGTTTGTAAGAGGCTTTCGCAGAGTACTCATCATTATGCCTTCCATTTACACTAATAGTGCCGTTCTGCCACTGCTGCTGTTGAAGAAAGATGCCGAGCCTGTCTTAATGCTCAAGGAAATCACTTTGAACAACATTTAATATGAATGTTTATGTTTAAATTTAATTAGTAAAGTAGTTAGGACAAATATATAAGTTTTATTTATTTCATATAACGTAAATAATTCATAACAACGAAAATCTTTAGGTGTGAATATCTCCTTAGCAAAGCGTTTGCGGACATACATTAAGAGGGAATTTTTTTCTTTTCTTGAGGTCCTTAGTTAATTTTTGCAGTTTGGCCAATTCACCCTGTACAGTGAAGGTGAACACGGTTTTTATTGAATGAGAAGGAATTGCTCAAAACATGTTCAAGATAATTGAATTCTAAGTAAACCGTCGTGACGAAGACAAAATTTTGTTCCGAAAAAGTGATTTAATTTACTAAGGTCGATCATAAACATGACTTTTAAGAAGTCGTATACCCCCAATGTACTATGTAGTACCCATACCCCAACAGCATATCTCTGTAATCCCGATTAGTTAAAAAAATCGGAATAATGGTAGGCTTTGCGTTATTAGACCTCATGAAAGTACCTTTCTTCATTGACCTTAGTAAATTTGATCACTGTTTTCTCAAAGACAATTTTGTCTTTTTTACAATGATGTACTTGGAATTTAATAATCTTTAACGGATTTTGAGTAATTTCTTCTTATTCAATAAAAAATGGGACCACCTTAAGAAAAACATAAAATTCGTCTCAACTAATTTTTTGTTCGGAATCGACCCATGCATCAAATGAAATTGTTTGCTGGAAATTTGACTAGAATCACCATTAAGAACTGAAACACCCTGTATATATGTATACGTGTTGATGTGTATAGGTATATAATATATTATATTATATAATATAATATATAGAATATTATATAATATATATATATATATATATTAGTAATTCTGTTGCTTATTGTATTTTATTAATTACATACAAACAATTATACAAAAGACATATATTTGAAGGGTTTCATGCGTGTATCTTATAGATTCTTCGCAGCTGCTTTTGTTTTGATGACGATATCCAAAGCGTTGAGAAAGGCCATGTAATCAAGTTCGAGGAAGTGCCCTTTCTTGAAGCCGAAGCAGTGGATGATCGTGTCCAATTCGTTGTTGGAGATCAGGTGGAGGCAGTTCAGCGAGAACAGTGCTTTTTGGACGTTAGATCTCGAAACTGTTCCACTGTTTATCGTATCCAGGCTCTTTTGAAAAAAAAATTGTCGATTATTTACTTATTTATTAAAGGTTGATATATTTAGTTTTATCATTTATGTCTAGTACCCCTTGAAGATTTATTGAATTAGATAGTTATCTGTCTTTCTTTTTTTTATTTTATTATTTTTTGAAAATTTATTTATTGAGAAATATTACAATCTATATCAATTAAGGACACTTAAAACAAAGTTCAGAGAGTACGTTCCGTAATATATACAGGAACATAAATGAATAAAGTAATAACAAAAGAATACATATAAATAAGAACAAAATAAAATATTATAAGGACAGTGAAAAGTAATAAAATATATACATAAGTAAGTAAAAATAAAAATAAAAGTAAAATGAACATCTTAGATACAAGCATACTTATATAAACTATTTACAATCAGCCAGAGAAACTCCGAACCAATCTTTTCTCCCAATTGTGGAGGGAAAAGCGAGGTTTAGGAGATCCCTGCGCTTCTTCCTTAACCACCTCTTTGGTAAACGGTATTTATAATGCATTTGATATACAAGCCACATAGTCAAGATATGTTTAGTTATTTACAAAATAAAATATTATCAAGATATACTGTTCAAAACAACATAGCTGCCACTGTACTTACACTAAACAATTACTGTGTTCGCTCAAGAATTGCTTGTTTGGTAGAGAGGAGCCTTGGTTTTCAGTTCTCGTAGTTACAAAGAGTATAGACATTTATAACACAGGGTATACAAGGGGGGAATTTCATTTTTTTTTTTTTTCAGGAATTTCATTCACGATAATATTTATTGGGTTAGGTTGGCCCAAATATTTGGGTCGTCATCAGGACTACTGTTTTTGTATCGACGACATCCGAACGATCCGTACTGATGATGGCCCATTTGTTTGGGTCGAAACGTCGGCTATACCAATAAATATTATTGTGAATGAAATTATTGAAAAAAAATCTACGTTCTATGACTTGTATATATTCCATTATAAATTTATATTTGCCCATCTCTAAAGTTTTTTTTTCATTTATTAAAAATATCAAAATATTTTTTTTTAACTAATTAGGAATTCTTTCGGTACCAATCACAGCGATTTTGCATGTCCATTTTTATATTAACTATAATAATTATATTAAGCGGATATAGTTTGTTCAATTCAGCGCTGCGTAACCGTATAAATTCTCCGGTTGGCTCATCCTTCTTCGATACGAATATTCTGTGCAATCTATATGTATAAAAATGAATATATGTCTGTCTGTCTGTCTGTCTGTCTGTCTGTTTGTCCTTTGTGCATTACTAAACCATTCATCCGATCGCCATGAAACTTTGGGAAGTTGTTCCGTACACTCCTGGAAAGGTTTCTGGCATAGTACTTCTGTCTTACGATAATTTTATGTATCTAAAAAAAATAAAAATGAAAATATTTTTCTGTTCAAAGCCGCAAAAAAATGTGTCGCTATAAACTGTAGCGCCAAAACGGCTTTACCGATTTTAACGAAACTTAGCTAAAGTCTTCTCCTTGAAACTCTTTTAATTTATGTGTATATGTATGAGTATTACTTTCCCGAAAACAAGCTGAACAATGTTACGAGGAATTCAATATTCTATTTGCCGATAACTAAAAAAGTACACAATTTTTGATGGACAATACCCATATTTATATGAAAGATTTCTGAATTGCTGACAAAATAAAAAACAATCATCGAAATCGGACGGTTCGTTGAAGAGTTATAGAGTTTTAAACATTTACTGCTTTCTCTTCAGAAAAGGCCGTTTCCTTTTGCTTCCTCACTACCGAAGGTAGGCAAGCATTTTTTTACTTTTATTTTTTTATTGATTAATCGAAAATATTATAATTACTACAGTAATTGAAATTATCATTTGAAGAAGTTATATGATTCTCCTTATGTAGGTCAATACTATTATACGTTTTTTTTTTATTAATTTTTCAATTTAGTTTTATAAGTTCAAATCAGACTGATTCTGATGATTATGAATGACGGCGAATTCACTCAGATGATAATGAATGTTCAATTTGAATCATGAAAAAAAAAACATTAGAATTAGTTTAAATTGAAGCCATTTTACAGACGAATTTGTTTCCCAACTTTTTAAAAATAACAGATGTCCTTTGCTACTAATCTACTCATATTTTCTTTCTTTTTCATTTTGCCAGGCTAAGCCACAGCAGCGCTTGGCCGGGTAAAGCTAGTACTTTATAAAAACCTTAAGACGTTGATTGTGTAATTCCTTGATGTAAGTGGCCACGATTCGCATCCATAAAATACCGCGGAAAGGACAATGGTTTTGTAAATTTGAAATTTTATGTTTCGGGATAGGAGGTGCGAGCTAAGTTGACAAAGAAAAATAACCAGCATTGCCCGCCTTCAACTTAACCTTAATATTCTCTTGAATTTCATTTTTTTCAAGTTATCGTAGACCCTAGATACCGAAAATTCTCCTCGTGTTTTAACACACTCCCTTCTATATCGATATCACCGAAATCGCTGCTAAACTTATATTTTGTCTTATCAGTATTTATTTCGAGCTTTAGTTCTTTATCGGCTTTCATAAACGTTGCTAGTTTTATTGTTTCCGTGTCTTCGCTCAACAGTACCAAATCAACAGCATACCCAAGCACGGATATTGTTCCACCCAGATTTAAACCTTTTTTGGTAGGTATCACCTCTCTTATGCCAAATTAAATATTATAGGTGAAAGGGAATCATCTTGTTTTAAGCCCGAACGAACCTCAAATTTCTCGGATAAATAATAGCAGATTCTAACTTTATTGAATGTTTCGAACACATGCTAACTAGATTCGCTATTTTTTTTTTTTTTTTTTTTTTGTATGGTCCTTTTAATATATAATTAATGATGAAAAAATTAATTACCAAACAGTTTGTTAACATTGATGAATGTCAGTCAGTTAACGGTATTTTAAATAATTTACATTTTCAAAGGATTAGAGTTTTTTTTTTATTAATTGCATCGTTTAAAAAGAAAATTCTTAAAATTTTTGTGTTGGTTAAATATCTTAGAATTATGGAGATTCCCTATCTGCCCACAACGCAGCGGCTAACAAGATATTAGATTGAACTTCATTCCATCGTTATTAAAAATATTTCTTCCACATGTATCAGATGCCTGTATACTACAAGTATTCTAAGAAATTTCTAAGATGGCGATTTAAGCGTATGCTATATTTAGTATCATGAATACGTTAAGAATTGCGCCAAAGGAAGGGAAATAAACTTTATAGACAAAACATTATTTATAACCGTTCCAAGTTCCTATTTAATATGAATATTATGAATTCATAAGTTGAAGGGTAAAATATAATAATAAAAAATAATATTGGACATTATTAATTATTTATGATCTTTTCCAATAGACATTTTTTCATTATGTTTAGGACCAAGGATATTTAATTGGTCACTTTATATAAGTGTTCATATACATTATATATATATATATATATATATATATATATATATATATACCGCAAGTTGAGAGAAATATTTATAGGAATGATAGCAGACCATAAGACTTACAAAAAAGTTTATATAAATATTGGTCCGATTATCTGCAGTAAAGTAGAAAATTCAAGTTATGTGTTGGTTCATTGATTAATTCATGTTTTTTATTGATTAGGATCCAATAACAAAAAATTGGATAATTAACAACTTTTTAACTGTAATGGTTAATAGTGACATACATTTCATTGTAAGTAAATTTTGTATAGTTAACAGCGAAGCAATTGTTAATTACGCAAATTATATATTACTTTTTATTAAACGTGCAACACTTAAAAACATTTTTATTTCCTAATTTTCTGCCAAAAATCAGACTATTGTTTATATAAATTTGTTGTAGTTCTTGAGGTTTGCTATCACTCCTATGATATTTCCTTATATTTACGGAACACCCTCTATAATCAAAAGTGATAATGATACCACACTTGGTTAAATATTTTTGAAAAAGCAGTATTTTCTTTATAAATCAATGAGTATTTTTATAATTAATATATTACAATAAAATCAAGGCCATTAAAAAAAAAACAGAAATTAAAACTATTATATATATTGTTTAGGTCTTTCAGGTGACAGAATGTCAAATCACATAATTTTGTTACGTAAATAAAGGTGAATCTCAACATATTCTGTAAAAAATCTTAGCTCCGTTAATATGAGCTTAAAAAATATTTAACCGGGAAATATTTATAAGAGTATGTTAATAATTTAGCTGTCTTAAAGTAAGAGAGCGGTAAAAATATTTAGGATTTTTCCATTATTTTAAGAAATGCAATTGGTTTTAAAAAAATAAATATTATCTAGTTTACTGTGAAGCATTTATTAATTACCCTATTACATTTTTTTTCGTAATAACTTCCTATTCAATGAAAAGCATGACACTTAAAAAACAAAAAAACTTCAATTTCCTTTTTTTCCGGAGAAAATTGAATCATGGTTTATATAAACTTTTTTCGTAGCTAGGTCTTCTATCGTCTAATATATTTTTTTCTTTATTTACAAGTGCCTAGACTGGGGTTTCATGGGACATTTGAGTTTTTGAGGGGTAAACATTTCTATGAGATTATCCTTTTCTATGAAAAGGTTCAAATCACGGGGACAAGAGAAAAATATAATAGACAGTAATGAAAATGTAGTTCAGCAAGATAGGTTGGGTATGGTTGTGACGATTTTCTATAGTAAATCATACTTTCAACTACATGCAAATACTATACTTTTGTCTTTAAGTACCATGGTTAACTCATAGGAATAACTTTAACTAATAAGGCACTGTAGTGATAATAACTCTGTTTATTCATTACGGTAACTGAGTCAAATTATAATTCAAGTATTTATAAATGCTATAAGTTGAAAATATAATTTTCAAGAAATAATAAACGTTTGAGTAAGAACATTCGATCTTTATCAAGCGGTTTCTGGGCATCTATAAGCAAAAAAAGAAATTTATTTGTGTCAAAACCGTACCCAAAAAATATGTCAAAACGGTTTCCAATGCATTTCGGCTTGACATTACAAAATTATGTACAAAGTAATCATTATCATTTAACTACTAATGTTTAACCTATATGTGGCTATACACTTTCAGACAAACACGTCACTACTTTCTCTATTTGAACCCGGCAATTCCTGATAGTTCTAATAATAATAAGTTTATTTAAATGAATTTACAAAATGTAGAAAAAAATGGATAAGGTTTTGGTGCAACATTTCACACTAAAGGTATCCTAAAATTGTGAACTTTTGTTTTTTGACAGTATGAATAAAATAAAAAACCCGACATAAATGAAATTTAATAAAGAAAATATTAATAATGTAAATAAAATTAGTATATAAAGTGTACAATAATAATAAAATAAAAACTATATACATTTAAATAAAGAATATAGTTTATGTTACTTATGTTAAGTAGTGTATTTATCGATTATTATGTACAATTCAAGTAAATTATGTTTTGTACGTCTGTATTTGTATCGTCTTAAACTTTATAATAGCCCATTGTCTTAAGGGGTTTACAGTAGTATGTTGAGTTGAAAAATTGTTCGTTCTGGGAGTATATGAATTGATTAACTGTCTGAAATTTCAAATAGTTTTAACATGTTGGTTATTCTGGTGTATCTGAGATAATCATTTGTGATTCTCATACACAGATTTTGAACCCTTTCTGATTTTTTATAGTTTGAGTCACATGTGTCTCTCCATACTAGACAAGCATATGGGAAATGTTTGGGTGATTTAGAGTTCTTTATTACGGACTGAAAGGATCTCTTGGAAAGAAATGACTGGGATAGTATGTATGATGTACGGTGGGAATGTATAGGTTTATATAATAGTTTATAATACATAATATATATAATATATAATAGTTTATATAATAATCCATTGTTCTATGTTGTGTCGAGGGCTTTTTATATAGTTTTAGTTTTGCTAATATAAAGACTATCACAGAGGTAATCAGTATTCCTTATGGTTTACTTTTTTCTAATTCTATTTTTTCTTGCGTTTTTTTTTTTCTTTTTTTTTTTTGGAGGTTGGTAATAAAATATCTTAAGAGGAGAGATTCATACGCCATCGACCTCATGAGAATGGGTTCCCCTATGGTACTCCCTATGGTACTTAGTAATTGCGAAGCTGTCCTGCAGCAGCCCTCTAAACGTTTGTATTGGAAAATTAAAACACATGAAACAAAACTAAATCGTTACCTTGAATAAGTCAGTGCTGGAGAGACCGACATATTTGGAGAGCTTGTCCATTGCCTTGGCCAGCGTGTTCCTCTTCTTGAAGTTGGCCCACTGATGTGTTGGCATTATCTTGCTCTCTGTCCGTTCGCTCTTTTCTATCACATCCTTTATGTTGGGTCGGGTGAGGCAGGGTGGTAGTGAATCTTCGTCCACGGTCCTGCAGAAGCGGTTGTACTCGATCATGTCTGGATCGTTTGGCTGGCAGAACCTGGAAAAGGTTTACTCTTATATGAGGTTACTGTTGTATGAAAAAATAATTTTATCCTGAGACTAAAGTCCCATAAGAATAATAACAGAGTTCCATAATCATTGCGTTGGCGATTGTATAGTTAATTAAATTATTCAGTATTAACAAGAAACAAGTAAATTTTACGTGTTTACAGAAGTTTCAAAATGATGTAGGTGGTGGAATGTGATATGTTTGAGGAAATTTTCTTGTAAAGGAGAGCAGAAAGTTATTAAGGAGAGCCTGCTAATCAGCTGTTTAATATAACCTTTCTCTACTGTGGGACTCTCTGTTTACTTCAGTGTGCATAGGATGGCTTGGCTAGATGTCTATAGTATTTTTTTTTCGTTGTTTTTTCTTTCTTTTTTTTTTCTTTTGCATATATGTGATCCGGTTTATTTTTTCCTGTCTTGATGATACCTGAATAGGCGAAACGTTGGTAGTTAAACTGTCTACCTGTATGTCAGATACTTATGGCTTTATTGTTTGGATTTTTCTATTTACAACGCAATCGCTATCTTTATAACGCTATATTGCTATATCGTCTTTTTTTAGTAATATTCCTATATAGTAGTCCGTGGTACTGACCCTTTTTCATAATATTATTAACATACGCCTGAGCCATCGTGAATAGTTTCATCACATCGAAACCTAAAACTGTTTTATTTACAAAAACTCTTAGAATTGAAGCGTTTTCAATCTGAAGATTTGGAGAACTTTGTGTATTTAATTAGGTTTAATACTAATATTTGACAGAAGGATGACCTGGGGCCCACACGTCAAAATGAAAAGAAAGATTTTGAACAAGCGACTGAAAATACTATACTCACTGTTTTCTAAATCAAAATTGAAAATTAGACAAAAACTAAATACATACACTTACCTGCTCAATCCCATTTGGACATACGCCTCACAGATTTACGGTTCAGCAAAAAAGACTCACTTACAAAAACTACAATCCTTTCAATCTAAAATTTTAAGACTAATAACTGCAGCTCCCTGGTACGTCAACAACAAGACTTTACATACCGACCTAAGACAACCAACCATTGACCAGCACATACGTACTCTTTACTCCCGATTTCATCTAAAACTACACGGACTTCACAATAGACTTATCAACGACATGGCCACGGCTGAAAAGCTCATCAGGAGGGGAGTGAAAAGGAGCTGGATGAGAAATCTCCTTTCGTGATTTTAGGATGTAAACAGGCCAGGGAAGAGGTGCTGCTGGGCTCCATTCTTCGTCATGACTATCACGCCATTTTTTACCTAACAACAAATCTGCTAATTGTCACTACCATGACAGGTGCGGATGAAGAATTAAAGATAAAAAAAAATTGGTTTAAAAAAATTTGTAAATACCTCTTTTCTTTTCACTTGGATCGTAAAATAATTCAATCACAAAATCGAGATAAAAGGTTGCCTACAAAAATATAGAACCGTCTGGTCTATGTAACCTCGTTATTTGGACATTTTGCTGAAATAGGTCACGTAATGGCTCAATATTTTTGAAGGGCACCTTTTTTCTCAATTTTATGCTGAAATTATCTTACGATCCAAATGGAAAGCAAATGGGTATTTAATAGTTTTTACTACCTAATTAAATAGACAAAGTTTGGCGATCTGCAAATTGAAAACGCTTAGTTTACGTTACGATGAGATGAAGCAATTTATGATGGTTTAGGCGGATGTTAATAGTTTGATAAAAAGGGGTGTGTACCACGGATTATAATGTTTATATACATGAGCAAAAATTTGTATGTACATGATTTATAAAAAAAATATTTACTTACACGTCCTCGAGTATTTCGATTTCTTTTTTGGACAGCCTCAGACCACACTGATCCAAACCTCTCTGGAATTCTGACCTCGTTATCAACTCACGCTTATGTTTATCGAATACTTTCAAGTAATCTTTTATCCATACCCTCTTGCATACAATCTGAAACGTTTAGGTATACAAATTATGTTTGATAATAATAACAAATTACACACGGTAAGCGTTGATTAAACACAAGACCAAGAGGAGACCTAGGCAGACTACAAACCTTATCCTTGGTCTTGCACACTCCGTCTTGGTCTTGTTCTTGGACTTGGCAGTTACCTACTATCTTATTGCTATTTATTAAATATTTTAGTTTAGATCTTAGAAAAAAACCTACAGAACATTTAGATGTTTTATTGAGATAAACATAGTAAAGTCCAATCAAATAATTAAAATTAACTTTTTTTTTGTCCTTCCCTTCCTCGCCGTTAAGGCTATACGGGGTTTTCCCGGGGCAGGGAGTGTGGTCGGGGATTTAAAAGACTCCCTCGGTACCGGGACGGTAACTCGTGACTATTTTTATATCATTAGATTCATATGTTAGGTTGCCGAGCAACGGCGGTGCTGTGCACACGCTTTAGCCCATTCGGCCACCCCGCCCTAATTAAAATTAACTTGACAATACATTAAGGTATCATCAAGAAAGATAGTGATAGGGATCACGTGGTTTATAATAACCGGATGCGATCACAAATCACTCCCTCTTCATCAGAATGGTTGACAACCTTTTGTATACATTTCCAATCTGTTTTTTACGGTATAGAATTAATAGTCCTGTGCCTTACCCCCAATCTGGAGGACCAGAAGCTATATTGTAAGACACAGAAGTCGCTCACATTCCTGTGAATCTCAGAGTCGGGACGTTACCGTCTCCCTACGGGAGCTGAACCCGCGCCTCATTGGTCTAAGTAATCGAATAGAAACTGCACTAATTTATTATTAATTATTTAAAAAAAAAATTTATTTTGTTTTAAATTCCGTGAACGTGATATAAACTCATAACATAAACTTTTTGCCTGCGCCATGACTGGCTCGAACACCGCGGCCCTCAAATTATAACCTAACATTTATTTTTTGTCTCATGATCAGTTTCTTACTAACTAATTTATATTAATTGTTACCAATTATTTAAATAAAAAAATCTGGTGAGTCCACTCATACAAGCATCCTATCTATCTTTAAAAAAAATGTACAACTTTAAATGTGTCCAAAAGAAAAAATAAAATAAATAATTGGATTAGATACATTTTCAAAAAACCGATCAGAGAAATCATTAAAGTACAATTTTTTTTTTTTATGAACTAAGCAATATAGGCGGGAAGTGAACTATTATTAAAATAAGCTTATACAATTCAGAACAATATACCCTTGCTAAAAGTGGTGTAATTCAGATGATTTTGCGATAGTTTTGTCAGAAAACAGGCTCTGAAATTTTAAGATCCGTTGAAAACCGATAGGATGAGTTAACCCCCCAAAGCAGTTTTCTTTTTTTATAACTTTCTTCTGGAATTTTTTTGTTGAAAAGTGACTGAATATACGAGCATTAAATGGACTCTAAGTAGAAAATTAGAAGAAATTTTCATATCATTTTTTACGGTATAGCCAATGAAAAAATATGTTCTCTTTTTGCAAAGCCTCTAATGTACTGCAGGTAGCGCCCAATTTGTTTCACAAGCATCGGTAGTAAAGAAACTTTGACTTTTTACCTATTAGCGGTAGGAAACAAAAATGCAATTCAAATTAAAGCATAGTACAATAGCTTTAACGTATGATTACATTACTTATATTAATTCTCTTGACCAAGTTGTAATACAAATCTGACTGACTTATTACTAGAGACAGGATTATCAGGTTATTGCATGTTTTATTCGTTTGTGAGTAAAAGCTCCAAACCTGGTTATTTATCTGTTTCACAACCTATGAAATAACATATTGACATTTGATATTGCACGTTTTGGCCTAATCTTTCTTCATATTGCTTCATATTGCTTTTGTTGCCCTTTAAGTGCTTAATTTCGATTTCAATGGCATAGGATTGAATGCTCAAACCAAATTCCGTCTATTACATAAGTAAAGGCTTATATGTGAATATATATTCAATCTTATTATTTATTTCAATATCACATTTATTGTTAAAAACAGGGACGTCGTACAGTTGGAAAGCGATAGCTCGCATGTCATTATGTAGTACATTAAAGGTTCGGAATCTGCATGCAGTCGGACATAAGTAATTAAATTTCACAACTTATTAAGTAAAGGAAAAATTTTATTGTATTAATAATTATGTAATTCGAGGTATACTTTTATTATACTCTTAATTTAATGCAATATATACAGCAAAAGGACCTTATTCTCGTGGTTCAATTATTCATGGTTTCAAAACATATATTTGAATTATATTTTTGATATAATATATATAAATTAATTTGCCAGTCTCACAACAAAAAAATATGAAAGTATTTGTTAACAAACAAATCTTATTACCGGTTTGCCGAAAGTTCTAAGGAAAGGCCTGAAGGTTTCTTTCTTTCTTCCAAAGTAATTTTCGTATATAAATATAATGGCTGAAGCGCCACTCCATAATTAAATCCTGGATCCGTTAGTGACATTTCCTAATATTCCTTGTGATTCATATCAAAAAACCTACGCATCCTCCTATGAGACGGTTGTCTAACGATGAGAACAATTGTCGCTCTTCGAAGACGTAGCCGAAAATGTTTAAAAGTAAATGATGATATTTTCGATCATTTATTAAAATAATACTTCAATAAACGAAACGCTAATACAGGTATGGAATATTGTTAATTTGTAATTTATTATTATTTTTTTTTTAATTCAATAAGAACATACGAGTTTTTATTTTATTAGTTTCCTGTTTGCTCCTTTAGTTTAGCATGTTCCCCTCTCCCTCTGACACCAAGACCAATGCATACCAAACCAGTTGTGCAGGGAGGTCATGAGCCAATAACACGTTCAACCACCAGATTTTTCCCCTTAATTGAGAGTACCACTTTATAGATGATGGGTTTTCCCCAGGATGGTCTCTCGACCTCAGTCGAACCACGACTGATGAAAACATTACTAGTCATCAGCCGGATTCGAACCTGGGACTTTGAGCTCTGGAAGTCAGAGCTCACCCACTGAGCTACCATATATAAGTACAAACACACACACACACATGTATATAAATATATATATATATATATATATATATATATATATATATAATATTTTTTACCAATATAATATTATTTATGACAACAATGACTTACAATACATTTGATTTTGGCCAATATTTCGATCACGTTACCCTCCATCGATTCTACTCTTTGCCTTTTCTCATCTTCCACGGCTTTCCTTCTCACTTCCATTTCTTTTTGCTGACGATCAACCTGGAATAAATCATAATTTCTCTATCAGCTCATGATATCCAACACCTAAATTACACTAGTTTGGGTGTAAGGTAAAGTTTAACAAAGTATAACATAGTTGACATTTTATTTCTATATAAAATTCAAATATCTTTTCAAGCCAAATGATCATCCTATATAGATATGGAAACAATAGAGTTTATTAAAATAAATGACCGTTTTATCAAATTCAAGATTTGAAAGGATTGTAAATATTCTAATCCTATTTAATATTTACCAATACTTAATACTCCCTTTAGAGAAATCTCTAAGCTTAATACTAATATGGCCTTTTATCCCTAACTGTATAAAAACTATTGACAACATAAGGATTAATAATATTTGGAATTAGCATTGGGAACTCTCAATAACATTTATCAGTTTGTAAGAGGCTTTCGCAGAGTACTCATCATTATGCCTTCCATTTATACTAATGGTGAATATGCCGATAAGGTGTTTGTATACGGTTCTTTATATGGTAATGCTAATGCTGTCCGTCGTCAATTTACCAGGCCATTTCCGAATAGGGGATTACCAAACAAGTCAATTTAATCTTGTGAAACAATAACACATATCCAGTGCCGTTCTGCCACTGCTGCTGTTGAAGAAAGACACCGAGCCTGTCTTAATGCTCAAGAAAATCCCTTTGAACAACATTTAATATGAATTTAATGTTTAAGTTTAATTAATAAAGTCGTTAGGACAAATAAATAAGTTTTATTTATTTCATATAACGTAAATAATTCATAACAACGAAAATCTTTAGGTGTGAATATCTCATAAACAAAGCGTTTGTGGACATTAAGAGGGATTTTTTTTTCTTTTCTTGAGATCCTTAGTTAATTAATTTTTGCAGTTTGGCAAATTCACCCTGCACAGTGATGGTGAACACGCTTTTTATTGAATGAGAAGGAATTGCTCAAAAACTGTTCAAGATAATTGAATTCTAAGTAAAGAGAATCTGCTAAACAAAGAGTTTGCGGACATACCTTCATAGGAATTTTTTTTCTTGTTTTGAAGTCCTCAATTCATATTTTCAGTTTGGCCACTTAAGCCTTGAATATGTATATTTTTTTTTTTTTTTGTCCCCCCCCTCTCCTTCCTTTTGTATCTTTATATTTAATTACTTATTATTTTTTTGAAAATATAATTTAATGTGTGGCCACACTAGCATGTCATATTTATTTTTTTCTATAGTGGCAACAGTCCCAGGATAACACAAGTATTTTCATTTAATTTCAAAATCAGAACAACGGTATTAGGCGTTAAGCCTATTAAATCCGTTTGGCTAAAGACAGAAAAGTTACCTAAGATCTGTTCATTGATGTCTAAAAGGTAAAAGAGAAAATTATTCTGAGATCATTTTTCTTTTCGTTTTATTTACCACGGTCGTACAAAACTTTCCAATGTGAGAGAAAACAGTACACAATTTATTGGGAATAACGCAATCCAAAATAATAAATAAATAAACAATGAGTTTGCCCATACTTGATGGAATATATGAAAAAAATCAAAAACAATATGTTTTTTCGAATAAATAAAATCAAATACCTTTATATTTATTAAAAATAAAACAATTTTTTTTTGTATTTAAATTTGACAATATACGAAATCCTTTTAAATCTGTTAAAACTGAGGTAAAAAGCCTGTACATGATCAATAATTGATGAAGAGCTTTCAATTTTCATACGATAGTTTTAATTTTTCATTAATTTGTATTGTAATTTTGTTTACTTATAATGAAAGTTTTGGGTTTAGTATAAAACTAATAACATTATTTTATATTTCGCTATAAAAGAAATTAGTTATTAAACATTCAGTTATAAGGCTGCTTCTATGGAAAATATATAAATATAACTTCATACATGATTGTATGCTTTATTAAGTTTGAGTTCACCTTGGCAACGTGAAACATTATAATAAAATTAGAGTAAAAATTTAATTCAATAGCCTAAGTTACTATAGTCATTTAATTATAAATTAATTTATTGTTCCACTTACGGTAAGCTGCTCGCGAAACGTTTTCAGATCTTCGGCAAAAAACCTCCAGTTTATTCCCATTTCATCTTCGTACCTTTCTCGCAAAATTTCTTTTTCTCTAGGGGCAAGACAAATACCGCACTCCAAGAAGACCCATTCAAATTGGGGAACCGTCAAATATGCAGTACCGTTTCTGTTATTATTAATAATAATTGTTATTTTATTATTACTTAAATGAATTAGTTTTGAATAATAAAACTTATTGAGGTATTACTGTGCAAGTGTCTCTCCACTTTGATAGATTGCACAAGATCACATGATCACATGATATTAAGTGGAATCCCGAGAATGTGTCGAGTGACTCCGAAAGTGGTCGGGAGTGACCGAATCCTCCGGGAAGGAACCGACTTCAACTGAAAAGGGATCGTTCGGGGTTTGTTTATCACTTTGGCGGACGGGAGTTGTAAGCACCTAAGTAATTAATGCTAATTAATGTACCCCTTTTAGATAAAAAAAAAACAGTAGGCGGAGTGGCCGAGCGAGTAACCGCGTGTGCACAACACCGCAAGTTGCCCGGCAACCTGATAACCGAAGTTACAAACGATAAAATAATGACGCAGCTCGCGTCCCGGTGCCGATGGAGGTTTTTAATTCTGGCATTAAATCCCCGCCCTCTTTTTCTGACCCGGAAAAATACCCGTATAACCTAAAAGGCGAGAAAGAAGAGAATGAAAAAAATAAATAAAATAAAAGAAACCAGCTGTCAGTTGTTTGGGACCGCGGACCTAGTCATGAATCGCTTACTAAATAAAGGAATGATATAATGTGAACACGTTGTCATTCTTTGGTTCGGAGTCCCATTGTTAGCGTGATCATGGGATCTAGCCCCACGCGTCGAATTGGAGTGACACTTCTATAGTGATACCCTTATATCACATGTCGGAACAGGTATACATGTATTGTTTATTGGTTATATTCCATTTATAAAAATATATTTTTGTGGTCACAAAATCACAAACATAAATTTACATTCAAGTAAATATTTTACTTACTCTACTGCGATATGTAACTATTTTGAACCGTATAATTTAACATTTTATCAATAGTAGTAACGTTGAAAATTATTTTGACTGAAATTTAATTTCGTTTGTTGGAGAAATGAATATTTAATTTGTATTTCATCTTATATATGAAAATATAATCTTGAAATGATATATGGTAACATGTTAAATAACATATGATAATGCTACGCAGTTTATGTGACCTAGTGATTTGTTTATAAACAGGTATAACGATTACTGTTATGCTTGATTTAGACATTTTAAAAACTTGAAAAATACAAACAGACCATAGCAAGAAACTGAGTGTTTAGATATTTCCGTATCTTCAAAAAAACGTAGGAAATTGGACTGGTGATAACAACAGTTTGGTTTCATACAAGAGTATTACATCATCATAACCATTATACAAAATGAAGTTATTAACAATTTATATTCTTATCCTTTATTATTTATGATTCGGCAAGAAAGGTGTTTTTTCCCCAAAATCTATAGTTGTTCCTTAAATTGTGATAAGAGTTATTTTGTGTCATATGACTGATGTTAGATTAGACTATCAGAGATAGCCTTCTCCTTAATATAATTTTCAATAAATTATATCACCACTTGGCATATATAATAAGCCCAATTTTTTAAATGAGGATTGAATTGATATTATTATTATTGATTAAAAATGTAGTCTATTGTGACTATTATTGAGATAGGCCTATGCCTACACACCAATCAACACACAGACCAATTTGGGATACTTGCGTGCCTAACTGGATCATGTAATCACAAAGTATAATTCCTTTAAAAACAAAAAGAAGAATTTTTTTAGAAACACTACATTTTCTCTTTCTATATATTTCATATTTAGGAAAGTGAGTGTAAGAGTCTCATCTTATCCTCACGACTTATAAGATATATTTTGATCACTTACATGTCACGCGAGGCGAACGCAGTGATTAGCTTCCTGGATGATCCGAATGTCTCCATGCACTCCTTGATATGCCCTAAGACATCGTTGAGGGAAAGATATGACAGATCTTCAGGAGGGGTTGGAGGTCTGTAGAGCACTTGGTAAGGATTAGCCGATTTTCTAACCATTCCGCGGTGGGGCCATGTTTCCAGTTCTTTGGCTTCGATTCCTAATATTATAAATTATTATCTCAGATTAGCAGATTATAAAGGAATTATTTTATTTTTCAACATGAATTATTTAATAATTGGATACTTCCGTGCGAAAAATATAACATAAATTTAATAGAATTCAATTGACAAAAACCTATAAAGGGTGTCCCATAAGTATAGGAAAATATTTAAAGGGGCGATAGCGAATCTCAAGAGCTACAAAAAAGTTTATATAAACAGTGCCCCGATTCTCAGCTCAGAAAAGTAGGAAATTAAAGTTTTCTCATAAGTTTTTAATGTATATTTTAGGCCAAATATCACCAAATATACACAGTTTTTACATCCTGTACTGTTTATTCGACGTTTCGGCTTCAGGAGCCATTTTCAAATCCATGCACCGCTTCATAGAATTTCTAAAATCTATCATTACCATATGATTCGTCCTTTAGTCATCCTTTTATTTCATAGAATGTCGTTTTTTCACTTTTCTTTCGCAGAAGATATCAAGAAAATTGTTGCTCCTCACTAAGGAATTCATACAGTGAGGAGCAACAATTTTCTTGATATCGTCTGCGAAAGAGAAGTGAAAAAACGACATTCTATGAAATAAAAGAATGACTAAATGGCATGGATCTTGAAAATGGCTCCTGAAGCCGAAACGTCGAATAAAGAAGTGACCTTTGGTCTAAAATATATATAAAAAACGTATGAGAAAATGGCACCAAACCTGAAGGATGTGACTAGAAAATTAAAGTTTTCTGTTTTTTTTTTTGTTTTTTTTTTGTGTATGTAACATTTTTTGTAGAACAGAAAATTTTGTATGGAAATTCATAATTTAAGTAACTAAGAATCATTTAGATGTAAACTAGACAAAATTTAGTTTTAATTAAAGTAGAGTTTGCCATTGTTAAAACCATTTAAAGGGGACTTCGAAGTGGCTAAACATACCTAAGTTCTATTTTTAGATAAATTATAAATTATTTAAGAATTTTTTTTTTACTACCCTCAAACTATACTAGAATTGCCCCATATTTAGAACAAACTTTCTTGTTTAAAAACTTCAAGTCCATATTGGTTTAACCGAGGTTTTATTAGGAAATAAGTTGAGATTCATTTCATGTATGAAGAAATGATGTGATTTGATAACCAGTCCCCTAAAAGCGTCCGTGTTTTCAGCAAATATGCCTACAATAATTTATTGCAAATCTATAATTTCTTTTTTATTTATTAACATAATGATTTTTCGAATATTTATTCTTTTTTTTTTAATTATTCATGAGATTTACAACTAAATAAATTTAAAAATACATCAAGTAAATGTGCACACGGTAAAACACAATCACATGAAAAAGCTTGTTTAGAAAATACCCATTGGTAGCACTCCAATAATACATCTACATAAGTGGATCACGAGGCCATCTTCTCTTCAAATGCCATGGAGGGTTATCAGGGTATCGAAGAGGAAGCAAGGTTTGAAACGAGATGTTTCGGATGGTTTTGAAGTTTATTGTGGAAGGATAGGTATCTGGATTGGGCTAAATCGGAAACATAAGTACGTTAAGGTCGTTATGAATGATTTTATTTATGAAAAAGTAAGGAGCATGGAGAATTTTACGAGAGTTGTTAGATTGTGAGGATACGAGAGGAATTTGAAGTTTTAGTGAAGCCCCAAAGCTCAATTCCACAAGTCCATATTGGCCTTATTATAGTCATGTATATGAGTCGTTTTTAATATATAGAAAGTTTAGAGCGTTCCTGGTTTTGTATAAGGATTCCAAGTGAGTGGTTTGTACAGATGTATTCCTAGGAATCGGATTTGTTCAACTGGGATAAGTGGGAAATTGTGAAAGGATACTGTGGGACAGGTAGTCATTATTTTAATTCTCCAGTTTTGACACCGTTCTTCAAGGTTTGTGATATCTATTATCTAAAGTGATAATGTAAAAACTCTGGGTTTAATTAAGATCTCGATAGTAGGAATCGTTATGTATTTAAAAGTAACCATCTAAATGTTCCTAATCCTATTATTTACATTTGCATGAAAATAATTTAAGAGATTTGCAGGTTTCTTTATTTTAAACGTAAACATTAAGGTTGAAAACATTTATTTGGTTCCTTATAAATACATATAAATTTATATAATAGAGATCTTAATAAAAAAAATTCAATTTTATTATAACTTTAGATGATAAATATTCGAAAAATTATTATTTTCAAACAATTTTTTTTGTGTATATTATTTATAGAGTATTTCTCCATTTATATTTATCATAATACATCCCAGGTAATTAAAAAACAAAAACTAAAGCTTTAATTCATTGTAGGTATTTTTTGCTGAAAATAGAAATACTTTTAAGTATTTGCAAATCAATCAAATCACATCATTTGTTTGCACAACTTGAAATGAATCTCAATTTTTTTTTTCTAATATACCTTAACTCAATTAATATGGGCTTAAAGATTATTATATGATTAAGTTTATTCAAAAAGTGTAGTATGGTAAGAGAATGATAAAAAAAAAATAGTAATTGATTTATAATTTTTTAAAAATGAAACTTAATTGAATCCTCTTTAAATGGTTTTAACGATGGCAAACTCAACAATGAAAATTTTATTTAGTTTAGTAAGGAGTAATTAGTAATTACTTAAATCATATTTTTTTTAGTTATCGCTTCTTATTCAATAAATAACACTTCATGACACTTAAAAAAACAACACAAAATCTAAATTTTCTCCTTTTCTACTTAAAATCAGACTATGGTTAATATGAACATTTTTATAGCTCCTGAGATCTGCTTTCGCCGCTTTAAATATTTTCCTCTAGTTACGAGATACACATTACAGAAGAGCATAAAATATGATTATTTCTTTAGGATTCATTAGTAAATATTAAAACAACATTATAAAAAAAAAAAAACACTGCTATTATAAATATACCCGTAGGCTTACTATGTACAAATAAATATCAACAACAGTTAAAACTCGATGAAACTACTGAAAAATCAACAAATCAAGAAAAACCATTTAAATATTATTCAAATATATTCAGTTTAGAAATCGGGTCAAATATGTTATTCTATTTCACTGAGACCATTTGTTATTCAGCAATCACTTTTAACAGTTTTACAGCTAGAGCTCTGTATACATAAAAAATAACTTTAAAAAAACACAGGAAGTTAGCTTCAATCCAATCTGCACAAATATTTGTTATTCATAAAAAACGTATATAGATTTTTTTTTTCAATAACTCAAAGTGCTGTTTTTTAAATTTTGTTTTCCGTTATCTAGAATATACTTCATTCTCAAAATCAGATTAGACTTAAATCATAAATTTCTGGGATATATGTTAAATATATCAAGTCAAATTAAATATCAAGTTAAAAAAAGAAACACTGAGCTTTAACAATTTCACTTCATTAGTTTTTTTTAAGGGCTTGTTACTCCCACAAAGAACATGGAGGAATTAATTATTTTATAATTTTTTTATTAATATTTTTGTTAACACTTAACAGTTGACCGTTGTATTATTAAGGAAGCAGGTGGTCCGAGATGGCGGTCACAAATAGACTAAATAGTGGCAAAACTATTTTATTAAAAATCCAACGTTTCGATCCGACTTTGCTAGCTTCTTTGCGTGAAACTCCTAGCTGAACACACGTCCCTCAAGAAGACCTGCAAAGTCTGGTCGAAACGTTGGATTTTAATAAAATAGTTTTGTCACTATTTAGTCTATTTATGACAGCCACCCTGGACCATCTCTTTCCTTAATATTTTTTTTCTTTCTGGTCTCAAGATTTTACGAAAAATCCTAGTTTGCCAGTAATTTATATTTTTTCAATTATTAATGAAGTCGTAATTTAGTTTTTCTCATGAATTGTTTAAGTTGGTTGTGCTCTCCATTTTTCTCTTTTATTATTTTAGTAAAATTGAGTACCGACCCCTCGATATATTTCCTCCTCAAGTTGCTAAACTGCTCATAGTATATCGCTAAATTGAATGGATATTGGACTTCATCACACAGCGCAAAACTTGATGTCATGCATTTGTATTCTCATGATTGGTTCTCAACATAATTAAATTTGTCACCTTACTTTTTCCAAACATATTCCTATAGAGGCAAACCACGGTTTTATGGACATTTTTGTATATATTGAATAGTGGTCTCTTAGCTTTGAGACTCCCATTCATATAAACTCTACCATCCATTAATAATTGTTTTACTTAAGAAACGGAAAATGTCTGTTTTAGGGACTTTAATGTTAATTCTAATTTCTTTGGGTTTATCTCGAATCTCGAAGTCGATTTGATCGCACTTTTAATTTCCGTGTAGACCCACATGTCCTCGTACCCATTAGAATGAAATTGCTTAATGTGCCAATTAAATCAAGAATTTTGTATACATAATGTAATTGACTATTGGGTTTCTGTGTGCATTTTGTAGGCATTGGCAGGAGTACCCATTTCCCTTAAGGCTGATGGCGCGTAAACCTTTCCCCTACCCCTCCCAAGATATTTTATTCCTCTCTCCTTCTTAAAAACAGTGCAAAAGAAACCATATATTCAATATTCGTAGATTATTTACCATTACACATCCTGTGGTCTGGTCCATTATTCCGCTTGTCTTTTGATTTGAAACTTTTCATTTTGAAAATTCATAACCCCGAAGAAACGTGGCCCCCTCAAAAATTGTAAGCTCAGTGAAAAAGTGCCCCCTTTATTAACTTTGATGGCGCAGTTTTAGCCATAAAACTCCCTTCTGGGAACCACTGGGCATTGGCAAATATTGGCTGAATCTGTGAGAACGATAATATTACCCTTTTTTTAGCTGAGGTTATTAATAATTCCAGCAATTTAAATACATCATATTATCATTAGCTGAATTCGCACTGCAGGATATAGATTGAAAATTGTACGTTGCAGGATATTCTACCAAATTTAGGATTTGAAATAACTTAACAGTGTTCGTTTTTGTTCATTTTTTTTTTTTTTTTTTTTTATCGTATACGGACTATAACATATACTCACCTTGCTCCAGATCATTTTTGAAAACTTTCCAAAGCACCTTATCCTGAGTGGTCGGGTCCGCGTAAACTGTTACAAGTAGCTCCACTTCCCTGTGAGTGAGGAATAGGTCGTTGAAACAAGTCTCGCTCACGCAGATCCAATCTATGCAAGATCTCATCGCCTCCGATGTTACTCTTCCCGTATTCATCTTATCGTAGAACTGAATACATAAATATAGCATAAATTTATATCGCTTGCCTGTTTTAAAATAAATTATATTATTAATTATATAAGCAGAAAAGGGATAAATTTCTCCCTCCTAAAATAGCAATTAAAAAAAAAATCTGTTCAATGAACAGTCTTTTCAATAGAGGAAAATAATCCATATGTGTTGGTTTTAGGTAAAAAATTTCTAATATCATAAAATAAGGCTCTGTTTATTTTTTCACCATATTTTTTTTAATTTTCATAGCTACGTTTCATCATTTACTCATCAACCCTTTTTTTTTTTTGACGTAGCACTTAATTATACTGGTAATTCCGACCAGACCTTCTGCGTGTAAAGCAGATGTGATCAGCAGTCACCTTAAGGGCAGAGATTTAAGCCGTATATCAACAAAAAAACATTGGAAGTCTCATTGCCAAATAACAAAGAATAACATACAACTTCCCAGAAAAAAAAGAATATTTTTTTGTTTCTTGAGCCAAAGATGACGGAAGGGCAAAAATTATTCCAATCGACGGAAGTTCTTAACAGTCATGAAAATATGGATAACTTGACTGTTTAATCCAACATAGATTAAAGATATTGCTTATTATTTCAGAATATTCGTTAGGACCTTCAACAAATGAACAGCTTACCATAAAGAAGTCTTCGACATTCAGTTTCTCGTTAAGAACTTGTTCCCTGATCTTGTTGAAGGCGACGGAGGTCTCTGCCGCACCGACTGCCCCACCAGGAAACCCATCCGAGCAGATTTTGATGATCCCGTACTGCTCGCCCTCTGGAACAGGCTGCATGTCCATTGCCGGGAGGCTCGGAACCTTCCCGAAGTAGTCGTCCCGAAGAGCCTGAGGAACGTGTGCGTTACAAACATCAGAGGACACAAGAAATAATAACAAAGCTCACTAAGGGCTTACTCCGTATTGGTCGACGAACTGGTTTTCCGCCAAGAACTGTGAAACTTCATCGATTTCTTTGAGGAAGGCTTCGTACTTGACGGTATCAGAATCGTGGCGGTATTTCCTCAACAGCAGCGATATCTCTTCAGTAGTCAGTGGTACTCCCATAAAATGCACCACGCGAACAAATGTGTTCTTACTAACAAGACCTGAATCTTTTTTAACCTAAAACAGAGTAAGTATTTTAATTAAACAGTGTATATTATGTGTAATATGAATCAGGGTATTATTGTTAATGTTATTTAACTTATATTTTACCCCAGGGGTTTCCCTCCTACCCAATGTCGATGGCGCATGAACCATTCTCTAAAAACCAGTGCAAATGAAAGCCGAATTTAAAGTTAGTAGATAGCAGACGTTGTAGATTATATACAATTACGCTATTTGCGGTATGTTCCATGTTTCTCCTTATAGTCTGGTTTGAACATTTTTATTTAAAAATTCATAACCCTGCCGAAATGTGCTCTCCTCAAAGATTAAAAACCCTGTCAAAATGTTTCCCCCCTCAAAACTTTTTATGGAGCCATGAAACCTCCATATGGGCATCCCTGTTTTACCCGCCAGTATACTCGTATATAGTAGGTGTAGATGTATTCTATATCATTGACGATTTCATACCGATCCATATGAGGACTGCCTACGTTTATGAATATTTATATGAGAAAATTTCCATATATGAATGACTATTAGTTGAAATTTTACTTAACAGTAATTTATAAACTGTATCAGCGATCAATATAATGGCCGGTAATTACATTCCCTAATTGTTGCCGTTCAACGAATTTTTAAAAATAGAATATCTAATTTGTAATTAATTAATTGGAATGATTATCACGTTTCTTTGAAAACTGTGATATAATTAATTTTTAATAATATTTTCAAGTCAATCTTTATAATTATTTTTCAAAACGCAAATTAACTAAATTACAAAGTTAGGAATTCCGCAATTCTGTAAATCATAAGTTGGATTCTAATATGACCGACATTTATTTCATTATTCCAGATTATCATTTTATAATTAGTTTTCACAAACTATGAATCACTGACCGATGAAATGCGAAGTAAATATCTCAGTATCTTTTGCATTTATGATTCTTATAATTAAGGACTATAAATGGACAGGAGATGGCATGGAGAAATCACTCTTGACTGAAAAAAAAAAAAAAAACAGTAGATAAACGATTTGGAGTGTTGTCCAGGCTACTTGACAGATGCTCCAAATTAGCCTTATCTAACAAACTTACTATCCACAAATTTATTATAAAACCTTTATGGACTTGAGCAATAGAGCTAAAAGTCTATTAGCCACAAAATTCAAACTTATATAGTAACGGTTTTCAGACGAACTATGTGTGAAAAATGATTAGTTACACAAAGACTCGGACATCCAAACTGTTTCAGATACTGCAATACAACTTGAAACTCGATAGTCAAACACTTAATTCCAACACGAACACGTACATCCCACCCCGACGACGTTTAAGGCAGTGATCAAGTGAAAAAAACAATACTTTTCAGATGTCAAATTCACAAATCATGACAAATTAAATATTTATGTCAATAAAGAAAAAAAAATATGTTTCTATAAAAAAATTTAATATTTTTAATGTAGTATTAAATATGTATATATTTTATAAAAGAATTATAACAATTATCTTTTTCTATTGATAATAATAATAATATAATAAAAATACAATCAAATTGGGTGACCACTAATTGACTATTAATATATATAGAAACAACTCAAAAAAAGACTCCTGACCTAGGGTGCTCAGTTTCATTCAGAATTAAGAGGATTATTGCGAGCTAAAAAATAGCAAGAAATATTCAAGTATTTGCTGTAGTGCTGACTCTACAAGGTCATTCGGAATTGCATTCACTATTGAAGTTCAGATTGATCTTGTAAGGTAATGACTTAAGTACTGGTGAACGAGTCGTGCGGATTTCCAAAAATCAAAGCTTCAATCACGAGAAGTTGAGAGGAGACTAAGAACTAAATGTGGTGGGGAGACTAACCTCACTACTAGATAGGTTAGTTTACCTAGGCCTTGGTAATTATTGCGAATTCCTGATTTCATCAAGCGTAAATAGTTTTTCATATAAGTTGTTTATATTTTTATAAACCATCTTCATCGATTTTTTTTTAATTGTCAGGTGAGCAATAAATTTAAAAAAATAAAAAGTGGAAACTTTTGAATTTACTTATAGAAAAAAAAAAAAATCAAATAACTCTTATGTATATTTGCCAGTTCTTTTTACATTTTTCTCAACAAATTTATCATTTTTGCAATACTTTTCCCTAATTTTTATAAGCAGTAGACTTATATTTTTCTAATTTTGGTCAAAACGATTTTCCGGCACTAAGTAATTATTATATCTCTTTTTTTCTCTTTAAGCCCAATCCTATAAAGGATAATATCGAAACAAGCCTTTTTAATGAAGCACATTATTATGAATGGATAATGCAACAGATCCACAGTCTGTTATCTCAACGTCAAATGACCCAGAATGCGTCAGTATGATAGATATGTGTAAGGGTCATCACGATTGAAGCAATCCTTTTCAGCCATTCATTAATTATCGTGTAGATTACCCATCTTACCAAGTAGTGTTGCCCAAATGCGAGACCAAGAAGAGTCTTGGTCTTGGTCTTGCGCAAGACTCTCGCAACAGTCTTGCAGTTACTTATTAGCTTATTATTATAATAGAGATATTACTGTAATTTTTTAAATAGGAGAAACATAACTAAGCTCAAATGAAAAATTAGAGGAGTTAAATGCAAAAGTATATTGGTTATACCAATTATTAACATATAGTAACTAAGATTATCAAGTATTAGTAACTATTTTGTCTTAATTTTTATTTTATTCTCGAGCATTGGGGCTCTACTAAACCATCAAATTCCTCTCGTATCCAATCCCTACAATCCAAAATCCTTCGTAAAATCCTTAATGCTCCCTACTTTGTCACAAATAAAATCATCCATAATGACCTTAATGTACCATATGTTTCCGATTTAGCTCAATCAGTACCTGTCCTTTCATAATAAACTTCTGAACCATCCGAACCCTCTCGTTTCCAACCTTGCTTCCTCTTCTATTCCTGATAACCCTCCGAGGCGTCTAAAAAGAAGATGGCCTCGGGACCTTCTAATATAGAAATATAATTGGAGTGCTACCAATGGGTAGTTTCTCCTCATGTTGTACATGTCATATTACTTGTTCATATTTACTTGTTGTATTATTATTAATTACAGTTGTAAATTTCGTTAATAAAAAAAAAAATATTCAAAAAATCGATTCTTTTACCAGTTCTGGTCTTGGTCTTACAACAATTAGGCGGCCTTGGTCTTGGTCTTGCAAAGTGCAAGACCAAGACCGATTTTGGGCGACACTATTACCAAGATAGGTTGAGGGTAGTGGGGGTGGATGGTCGAGCGCGTTAACGCGTGGGCTAAACATCCGGCAACCTGATAAACAGAACTTATCATGATAAAAGATTACGAGTCGCGGTGCCAGGAGGGTTTTTAATTCTGGAATTAATCCCCGCCATTTCCTGAGAAAACCTCCGTATAATCTAAAAGACGAGGAAGAGGAGGACATAAAATAGTTTGAGGAAACAAAGTGGATTTATCATTATAAAAAAACAACTTAATAAGTTAAAGAGGATTATTAGCTTACAGGTGAGAGGCAAGCTTTAACAAACAATAATCTCATAATCTGCTCCCACTCTCAATGTCCAATCGATAGACTGCTCCAGGCCCAACATCACAAATAGTTCCAGCTGGAGCATCGGAGTAGGATGGAAGTGGTTTTATTGTGAAAGGATAAACTGGGGTCGGAGTGGCTAGTTATCATAGCCGATGAAATTTTGTATTCCATTAGCAACATGAACCTGGCCGGCAGTATTCGCTTATTACCACTCCTGAATATTCAGTTCCGATTCCATTTGGCTACATAACATGGCTAACTTCGTTTCATTACGTCTGTCTAAGTTTTTACCCTGTCAATTCCGAATCCCAAAGTAGTCTGTAATATGTCACTAATTGTATTAACTAATATCGAAGAGGGAACTCTCACACTAGATAAACATCCTTCTTAATGCACTCGACGTATATGTGACATCAGCAAAACTTAGACACCAGGCATCATTACCAAAGAATAGTCTTGACATACTTTTGTGTTTATGTGTGTTTCTTGGAATCAGAACATTACTCACAGAGACTTGTAATTTTTACATTTGTAAAATTTGTGATATCGTTACTCGAAATTCTGAAACAACTGCATGATGCGATATTGAAGTCTCTGGTAGCGAACTATCTGACTGCTTATTTATAGATGTCGTAGTTATAATTCCAGAAGTAGGCTCAATATTTGCCGAAATCATCTTTGAAATTCTGTCGTCCTAGAAAACTTTCAAAACGATTATCCTCATCTTGCTGTATCATTTTCTCTTGCAAAAAGGATATGTTAGATTTTGACTTCACAGATGACGAGGATTTCCTCGATTTAATTACATTTTTACTAATGGATAAAAAAGTATATCATTCTCGGATGAATCCTTTTGTCCAATGGTCTGATGATGAATTTTGTGATAGATTATGATAGACGAAAATTAATTTAACTTGCGTTTAACGAAAACAAACACTTGAGAAGACATTGTGAAGCTCACACAACAAAGAACTGGAGAAAAACCATAGGTTTAGATTTAACTTTTTACCAACGACCGAAAGTGGGGATTACAGAGCTGAGCTGTTACTGGTAGATTAAGCTCAGATAACTAAATCTTGGTTAAAACCGTGAATCGTGCAACTGGCCCTGGATATTGTAGAGAAACAACATCTAGCTGGACAACACCAAAGCTAGAGCTGGTATGAGTTTGCCTAAAGTATTTGTCACTGAATAATACTTATACATAATAGTAATAAAGAAATTTAATAATAATCAAAAACATTGTTTAAATGAACATAGAAAGAAGAAATGAAAATGATTTATTTTTAATTAATCCAATTCACACAACCCCTTTGCTTGCTCCAGCTGTCTGTACATATCTTACCTCTACAACACTCCACTGCACACTCGTTACAATAATAAATAAGAGGCTAATGAACTCGAAGGTTTGATACAGGTACACGTACAAAAAAAATGTTTTAATACCACGAGTTAATTCAAATAAGTTTTTAAAAGTAATTTTACATGAATAGTTAAGTATTGGCATACATTTGATAAATGAATAAACTATCATTTGTTTTATATGTGTAAAAATTAATCCTATAGGATTAACTGCTCTTTCTCCCTCATTGGAAGTACTTATGTACAATACCTTAAACCCAAATAAGCAAACTAATTTTATGGATCTGTGTACTTACAAGCTCAAAGTCTTGAAAGAAGGGCTTCACGACAAGTTTTCTAGGTGTGACTGAAACGGAAATTCTGGCCAAAATTTCCTTTACTTCCTGGTCCTCTTTATCTCCTAGCTTGTTGGATTGCATCATTTCGATCTTCCGGTCTTCATCGCTCTCCCCAGGTGGGCTCACTGCTCAATGATCATCACATTGTAATATCGATAGACTGTTTTTATACCTTTATAATAGAACCTCGCTTATCCGGATCCGCCATTATCGGAATCCGCATTATACAGTGGCTCAATCTTCAAATGGCCAACTTCTGGAAGGTGATTTTAGATCAAAATTTCCAACGCTCCAGCAATTGATGTATTGATAAATTTTGAACGAAAAGTGAATTAAGTCTAAATATGTCTTTTCATAAGTGGTCATATTTTCTCATTTATAGGAAGCTTTAACACAAAAATTATTTAGTTCAGGAAATTAAAATTTTCATCATGGAATTTTTATTGGAAATTATCAGATCACTTTCCAGCTCTTTATTATGTTGTATCACAACATGAACCCTAGTTTTTGCATTGTACATTGAATAACAAATATCTTAAATTATTTTTTAAAAAATATAGCTTCTTTTTTAGATTTTACAGAATATTCTAGTTGTTTTTTTTTTTAATTTGAAGTAGGTTTTCTAAAATAATAGTTAAAAAATATAGTTTTGTTCTCGTTGGAATGACAGTAATCCCGCAACATTTTGTATATATGTATATATTGGAGATGCAGTGATGCCCAATACGTGTGTCTTAACCAACCTCCTCTGGGTTTTAACATCAATGAAAATGAAGCGCAGAGATCTTCTGAAATTCTGGTTTTCCACCACTGTTGGGGAAACAAGCTGATTGCAAATAGTTCAATAAGTATACCTGTGTATAAGATTTTATTTTACTTTATTTTATATTAAGTATTCTCCTTCATTTATGGGAGAGGAATAGCCTTGTAAGTTAGGCGTTGATCCGCTAAGCTCTAGGACCCGGATTCGAACCCGCTTGATTCGCTTGATACAATTAATTTTTCATCATTCGTGGGTATACTTAATTCAATAATTAATTAAGAAGGAAAACCTGACGGTTAAGCCTGATCCTTGCCCGTTCACCTCTTTGTACAACCGTTGGCCTTGTATTCCGCGGTACAGAGTTTCAGCATATCGTACAACTTTTATATCTACGAAAATTTTCAGAAATAGGATATTTTCTTATTAAACTAACTAATTTAATGAGGTACAAAAAAATTATAAATACATATTTGCTTCGAATTATTATATTGTGAATCGTAAGATAATTTGATCACAAAATCATACAAAAAAAAAAAAAGTGGCCTACAAAAATATTGAGCCTTTGGGCCAATACAACCTCGTTATTTTTTTAGATCCAATTTTCGTTATTTTCTCGAGTTCGGGAGTTTCTAGTATATTATTAAATTAATTAATTTAAGCAGAAAGCGCCCCATTTCTGAGTATTTGTTGTTTACGATTAGATGAAGCTTTATGAGGATGTTAACATTTCTATAAGAAGAAGTCAGTTGTACGGACTAAATCTTTTTCGTATTATAAAAATATTTCCTCATTATGATTCAATCACTTTAGTTGATAAAAAAATAATTAGCTATTTTTATAAAAATTTAAATCTTCCCTTTGATTTCTTCTTTTTTTTAGTTTGGATCTTTTTCTAGGCAAATTAGTGTAGTTGAATATTTAGCTGTATTATTGCATATTTGTAACTTTATTACTGCTTATTTAACTATTTTTTATTGCCTATTATATTTCATATTACGTGCTTTCTTACTGCATGAAAATCCGGGCTCTGGAAATTAGTTATCCAGCTGGCTTAAACGCTGCATACCAGCACCAACGCCTACAGACTCTGCTATGGACTGACAGAGCACGCAACTGAGATGGCATACTAAACATTCAGCAGGTAATCCAATCTCAGGGGGGACTAACTGGACAAGTAGCTTCCAGTCAATGCACTGTCCGACTCCAGCGGCAGCTCCATAATGTATCCTTTGGGCCTTATTTCCAGCAGTCCTTGAACTATAGATAACTCGATCGATATAATTAGGTCGTTTCATATGAAATGTTGGTCTCCACAGGAAAGATTATTTAGTTTAACAACTTTATAAAAATCAAAATATTTATTCTCATTATTCATACATCACCCCAAAAACGTGTTATCAACATTTCAATCCCAGGACTGAAAAATTTAGGGTATTGTGAAGAAACGATATCTGAAAATGCGTTTTGGATCTGAAAATCATTTTTTAAAAAATTCACGTTTAAGGAAGTTGCCCAAATTTCTGAACTGATGGAAATCTGTTGGAGATAAGTATGGCGAATAAGGTGGCTGTGGAAGGACTTCGTAACACTGATCGTTTCTTCACAGCCTGTCATGTAAGAGTATAGGTCCTTTCCAATTAACAAATTCAGGTTATTTTTTTTTTTAGGTTTTTGATGCATTATGTCGATATAACTACAGTACGATTTGGTTTCACCTCTGGATAAAAAGGACAAATGAATTATTCCAACCATTGGCCACCAGACATAAACCAATAATTTTTTTGATGCAAATTTTTTACAAACCACCGGGGAATGGTCCGTTCATCAAACCACACTTCTCCGAACGCCATGGCTATGTTGCTTGCGGCTTTGGCTGCCGAATGTCCAAGTTTAAACTAGTAAAAAAAAAAAAAAACTAAAAAATCTTGTGTTTCCATAATAGCAATATTTGGCTTCTTACTAAACTTGTGGTATTTAATGTGGAATTCATTGGAATGCTAGTAAATATTATCAAAGGTCTACTTACGTTTCTCGTGGACTTCCTGACATAACCTCGTGTATGCAATCCGGCCATCAGCGATTTTGTAATAATTAGTCATTTCTCCAATTTCGAATGGATCGAGGCCTATGATTGACTTCATAGGTCCCAGCAAGATGGATAAAAATTTAGACTCTGAAATATTTATTAATTATATTTATTATTAATAACACCAACTGTATAAAAAATAAAATAATTATATATTATAGTATGCTAAGTTAATAAGGAGGATACGGATTTTCTATTGACTTAAAAGTTATCGTCAAACATTTTTGTATTTATATTTTTACAAACGTGTAACAAAATATGTGAAATATTAATAAATAAAATTGTGAAAGCTGATGAAAATTAAAAAAAAAAAATATTAGTATTGGTGTACTGGATAACAAACTTGAGCTTCGATGGTCAGTTTTCTTAATATTATTTTTTTTTTAATTAGAAATATAATAATCTGTCACGTGGACAATAATTACAAAATGAAAAGGAAAAAAAAGTTTTTATTGTATTATATTTATAAAGTTGTAGTTAAAAAAATTGTTTAGCTCTTAGAAATAGAAATAAAAAATAATTAATTATAGTGTTTAAAAATCGTTTAATTATTGTGAGATTATAGTGACCACATTCACACCATATACACATAAAACATAAAATTAACAAAAGTAAAATAATAACTAAATAATAATGAAACAACTATGTACAATAAAAAATAAAACAACCTAAAGATAAGTAATTTTCAATTGTTAATTATTATGTTTAACCATGAATTAATTAATATGAACTGAAAGTTTATTAAACGAGGATGTTTTTCTCCAAACAGTTTATATAAACAAATTTTATTAGTATAAAATATAATAGCTATTAATAAAATAAATATATAAGTAAACTATAAATATTTCAAGGCAAGAGGAAAAAAAATGATTTTCGTTTCTTTCATCAATTTAAATAAGAAAAACAACTTAAATCCTCCTGTTCTTTAAATCTTTATAATACAAATACTTATATGATCAATTAATAGTGGCAACAATAAAATTAAATGATATTAAATTGATACGAATAATAGTAGCCTTCGTTACGTTTTGATAAGTAACTGTTACAAATTTAACCAAATTTTGGATGGATATGAAATCTCAGCCCTGAATGAGTGCATCAAAACTGAATATTTTACAATTACCATCTATTATGTCAATTGAACAATGTTAAGTAAAATTCGTTACGCATAATTTTTGTGACAGCATGTATTGGAAGAAATATAGTATGGTCCCCCAGCCAGCTCTTTTATGCCTCGAGATTACACATGGACTGAGAGCTGGCACTATAAAATGATTTTTTAAAACGATTGTCCGTCATATTAAATGAACAGTATATTAAGAAAAATCGGTAATATTCGATACATTGCTATTCTATAAATTTTGGAGACAAATCAATTTTCCTGCTTTTCATTCAAAGTATTTGAGACAACTAAAAAAAGTATTTAAAATTCAAAATATCATAAGATAACAGTAAAATTCTCCATGGTTAAAATTAATGGATACAGATTAATTCATATGAAAGCATGAAGAACAATAGAAACAATACAAAAAAAATAATATGAGAAGGAGTTGATCGGGAGGTGTGGTCAAATAAATAATAAATTATAAAAATAGTATTATTAATTTATAACGCCGTCGTTCGATCTACCTTGCAAGTCTTCATCAGGACGTGGCATCAGGCTCTGCAAGAGGCAGTTGATGTTAATTGAACAACGTTCTTCCTCTTAGTACTCGCTTTATTACTTCCCCTGCTAAAACTTAGGCTCATCAAATGCCTTCTACAGTGTCTGATGCCACGCTCTGATGAAGACCTGCAAGGTGGGTAGAAACGTCGGCGTAATAAATTAATTCTCCGCTGGCTTAGTACAAGTGACGCGGTTGGGAGAGTAGAGCAGGGTTCTCCTGGAGTTCCCTCGCCTGATTGTATATAGGTATGCATGTGTTTTTTTTTTCTTGGTTTTAATTTTCTTATTTTTTAGGTTATTTTATTTTATCTATTGTATATACTTTTGATTATTATTTTGTTCTATTTATTTTATTTTTTTGTAAATATAGTATGAATGTCATCCTACCTCACTATAACCAATGTCCAAGAGACAGATTGTTATAATACTAAAAAAAAAAAAATAATAAATAAATTAATAATACTATTTTTATAATTTAGTATTTATTTGACTGCACCCCTGGATCAACTCCTTCTCATGTTATATCACGGTTAACCATCTCTACATCATTAAAAAAAATAATACCATAACTACAAAAAATCAATAGAATTTCTTTTGGAAAACCTTTACAATTAGAAACACTTTAAGTATACATGTTACAAATGATCTGAGCATGTTCTTATTAAAGTTCTTAATCGTGTACCGCAGCCAACCATAGAGGTATGATTTATTTTGTACATTTTCAATATAATTTCTAGCTTGATTAAAAGCTAATACGAGTCGAGACAAGGCTCCATTTATCCCCTTCTCAGCTTTCCGTTGCTGTTCTACCAAGCATCCAGATTCGTATGAGCGTGCTTGCTAATGTTAGGGCAGTAAGATGCAGTATCCTCTTAGTACTCGCTTTAATACTTCCCTTGCCAAAACTTAGGCTGATTACACAAAGTGCTTGGGGTGTCTGGGGAACGCTTCTCAAGCCTTTTCTTAATGTATCAGCTCCTGTCTTTGCTGGTGACTACTGGTAGTTAATAGTATCAATTCAAAGTAACACTTTGTCACTGAAGATGTCTAATAACAGTTACTATTCTTTTTTATAAAACGTTACTTTACTATTTCTTATGACACGGATTTGTATTTTATTGTTAGTAGAGGAATATGACTTCTTTCTATGGATTTATGACTAAAAGAAAATTTAGAAATTTTTTTTTAATACTGTTTATTCAAGATATTTAAAACTGTATTACAATATAAATACATTAAGTAAATATGTACACAGGAATATAATCACATGAAAACGCTTATTGAGAAACTACCCACTGGTAGCACTCTAACAAAATGTCTATATAAGGATATCACATGGTCATATTCCAAGGAAGGTTAGAAACTAGAGAATTCGGATAGTTATGAAGTTTATTATGGAAGGATAGGTATCTAGGTTGGGCCTAATCAGAAACAAAGGGAACATTAAGGTCTTTATGGATTATATTATTTATGACAAATCAAGGAGCAATTAGGATTTTACTAAGGCTTCTGGATTGTAAAGATTGGATACAAGAGGAATTTGATGGTTTAGTGGAGCCCCATAGCTCAACTCGGTAAGTCCAAACAGGCCTTGTTGTAGTCATGTACATGAGTCTTTTATAATTAATTGGAAGTTTAGGGCGTTTGTCGAAGTGTTGGAGTAAGCGGAAACGTCGAGCAGTTTCTTGTCGTTTCAATGTTGAATGAGGATTCCAAGTGAGATGTTTTACCAGCTGGAGTCCTAGGTATCAGATTTGTTCAACAGACAGACGTAGGTGTTATTAAAGGATACTGTAGGACAGGAAGTCATAGGTTTACGAGGAAGGAATTTTATGGCATTTATTTTAATCCAAATTTAGACTTAAATATTAATTTTGAAAAAAACAAAACATCGCAAACGATCTATGATTTAATGAAAAACACAACTCCTTTTTTCATAGTTTCTTTATTCACATATGTTAAAACATCAACAACCAACCTTTTATAGTCTTTAAATTTTTTTAAAGTTTGTTATATATATCTGTTGCTATTTTATTGGTATTTATTTAAATCTTGGTAAACTGTATACAAGTATCTGATTGTACATTGTGACCAAAGAAATTTTAATTGATTAATTGTTCACTTCTAGAGAAAAAATTCATTTAGAAGAAATTTAATTGTAGAAATAAATAAAATACGTTTACTTGCCTGACATGTAATTGGTATCATGTGGGTCCAAAGGCTTAAATATATGCCACAGATTGAATCCCACTCTTAAAGAAGCTGCTTTGATTTTTGCCAAAGTCCTCTCCACGCTTTGCACGTTTCCTGCGCACTGAAATAATAAAAAAATATACTTTATAATATCGTAAAGAAAATAAAAATTTAAATGGACATATTTATATTAAATTTTAAAAATGGCTTATATAAATTAAGGCATACAATTAAGGCCTAGAATCCCAGGTCCGCATAGGACTTCATTTGATTCATATAGGACTTTAATAGCCAAACTCTTGTTATTTATTAAACTGAGCTTAGTGTGTTACAAAAACAAAATCTAGTAATTAGTTTCTCTGAAAATACCTTATTTAAGAAATATTTTATTGTTATTGTTAAACTATATTAATATATAAAAATCTGGTCTATTATAAAATTTTGAAGTGAATTTTTAACCAAATGAACTAATGCTTAAATCTAAAAAAAACATTAATACCATTAAAATAACAAAAATCCTATTAATTATATCAACGGTTGATTATGGATTGTATGACTATTAGTTATTAAACTGTTATTTTTCATTGCAAAGTTTACTAAAATGGAATGGGAATTTTGCATTGCATGTCATAGATAGGTCAAACGTTGTCACACTAATTGTAAGTGGATATTGTTGGGATATTACAAAAGGAAAATTCATCAAATTATTCACTAATTTAATTTTATAAAAGTTTACATGATGATTTTTGGGAATAAACGGACGATTGATACCTAATTATTTAAAATAATACAGATCTAGATTTATTAAACTACAGTAAATAAATTTAAGATTATAACCGTATCCATGGAATATTTTTATATTTCACTTCTTCTTTCACACAAATACAATGATAATATAATTTCAAACAATGTCATTGCCTTGATCTGACGGATTTTAAATACTTTTTAAAAAAAAAAAAGAATGTTAAAAATTTTCATTTAGTAAGAAAATTTCATTTAATTTTCTTGGAAAGATGTGATTTAGGTTGAATAATGTTAGTTTTTAGAAGTTATTATTTACTCTTTTTCTTCACTCTCCGTTAGTTTATACAACTTTATTTATTAGATATTTTTTTTCTAAAATCCTACGCTTTCTAACGATATATTATACGTATACCTTCGACTATTATTTCCGAAGATTCATTTTCGACCTGGATAAGCATTTTTATTTAAGATACATTTAACCTTTTTTCATAACTTCTAGAAATGGGAATTAATTAATTATTTAAAACAAACCAAATTAAAGGTACTTTAGAGAAAGACATGTTGAATGTTGGACAGTATAAGCCCTGCTAAGACATCGATTGAGATAACACCTAAATGATTTGAAAAGTCCACGTCCACTTAATTATACAGTAATACACCGAGTTTAATCAAAATCGTTAGAGCCGTTTTTGGAGAAAATTGTAAATATGTGTTTCACCATTGATATAAAGCGGCACTTCCGGCTAGCCAATTTTAAAGAAAACGTTGCTGTCACATCTGTGGCATATACAGATCTTAAATACGTAATTTCAGTTTCGTATTTGAGCTAGCCTGTACAAACACACACGCCATTTTGCGAGGCTTATTTTGGTTTGAGGTTATTTTGACTCAGAAGATCTCAAAACATGTGTTCACAAGGCCGATTAAAGAAATTTTGGAAATTTAAGTTTTCACGCCACCTTTTTGGATATTTCGAGTCATTAAAAAAAAATAAATAAACAACTTGGGAATTGATACTTTTCTCCAATTCCAAAAAAAAAAAAAAAAAAAAAAAAAAAAAAAAAAAAAAAAAAAAAAAAAAAAAAAAAAAAAAAAAAAAAAAAAAAAAAAAAAAAACGATTATGATTCACTTGACTCATTCGGTACAAATATTTTTGTTAACGATCTACATAGTTTAAAAAGCCATTAAAAATTTTAAAAAATCAAATTTTTAATAGTCGTAAAATTCTAATCTAAATATTAAAAAAATCGAGAAAAAAAGTTTTTATAAAGGCGAATGGAAATTAAGAAAAGCTTCTACCGTCTAACTCGAGCTTTTACCTGAATGAGTCAAACACTCCACAAATGAATTTCGTTTAACCTTTAAAAAGATTTATTAAAATTTCCAGGAAACGGAGCTCGGTATTTTTTCAATTTCCTCTTTTTGTATTGTGTTTATTTTGAAAGAATTTAACCCCGAAGAGCAATAGGTTTTTATACTTGTTTAGCTAACTATATTCGTAAATGCGGCAAACCAAATGTTTTGAAGTTGGTGGTTTAACGTTTAAAAACACCTAAATTTAATGAAAGCTTAATATTAATTATCGTTTGTATTTTAAGACTAGTCAGAGCTTAATAATCATTGTTTTATCTGGTTCTTTTTCAAATATTATCTAGAGAAAATTATTTTTATTTGAAATATTATTCAGTCTTTTCTCTTTAACGAACATTATTTTAATCCTGACCATTTGTTTGTTACTATTTTATCTGTGATATATATTTTTTTTATTATTATTAACAACAAAACAAATATTGATGTATTTCCTGTCTAATTTTTATATTCTGTTTGTTACAGGTAAGTGGTCATTTTTCAATTTACATGTCTTAAGACGAGCCATCAAAGAGGTGGTATGTAAAACTAAAATTATTATATTTTGTGAAAATTTAAAAATGTCGGTGGTTTATTGTAAAAAGTTACCAAGTACATATTTTTTGAACTCTACTATTATTCTAAGGATACTTCAGTCCCAGAATAAAAATTATTTTTCATTTATTCATTCATACCATTTTCGATATAGGTTAACTTTCAAAAATATTTTCGTGAGTTATAAAACTTATTTAATTATGCAAAAACACCATAAGTGCATAAATATTATACACATCCTTTTATTTATAGTGATTATTATTTTATTATTATAGTGAATGCACAATTTTCTGATATCATAATGGGAAAATCCATTAAACCTCTTTATTATTTGAGTTTAAGAAATGTTACTTAATGACTAGTTATAATACACCGTCGAAATGTTTGTTGATCTATAACAAGCAAACGTCATTAATACGGTACTTCATAATATTAATAAAAAAAAAAAAACTCTGTAACACTATAATCCATGAATATTTTTGTGTTCAGTTCTTAAAGAAGCACTGTTTGTTCAACGATGATTTGAGAGAGATTAGTCTCAACCGCCAGACTTATTCCTTAGTTAATCAATAGAAATTGGGTTTGCCCCAGGAGGGTCTCACGATCCAAGCTTCGATCCACGGCTGGTGTGACAAAATAAATAATTACCTAGCAAACGCGGACTCAAAACTAGGGACCGAAAGAATAGGAGCACAGCGCCTTAATCATTAAGCTGCGCAGCTCCGTTTATAACAGAGAAATAAGGATTATTTTAGGCCCTTTCCTATGCCTTACCTCTTATGCGTTTTGTTTTTTGCGATTCTATAACGAATTTTCACGAACAAATCCGTTATCATGATAACGGAAAGATAAACGTTAAAAACACTAGCTTTAATAATAATCCATAGTGAATACATCCAAACTTATATTTTTTTTTGTCCCATTCACTGTATGACAGTGTGTGAAAGAACATTTCAAAAGAAGATATACGACTCAATCATGCCCTTATTCACATATATATGTACTCATATATATGTTTTCAATATCTTGAACAGTAGTCCCAAATAAATAATTTACGAATACTTGGAAGTTGGAACAGAATTTTAATTATGAAATATTAATTTGAATTAATCGATTTAATAGCTTTTTAATAGTGTAGCTTCCAAGTAATTTTCATATCACTGGTTGCTGGTAACAATTTTACTAGATCTCTCTCTTTCTCTCTCTCTCTCTCTCTCTCTATATATATATATATATATAATAAAAACATAAATAAGGATTATTCTCTTTTATTAGTATATTACACCAATAAATTAATTATTTAGAAATTAAGTTTTCTTCTTCGGTACTAGTTCACAAATGCTCCATCGGGACGACGTGTGACACAAGATCACTTCAATCACTCCTGTATGTGGATTTCCGAGTTTGCCTGATAGTACTGATTATACCAATGTTTATGTTTAGTTATAGTAGAAATTATATAAATACAAATCTCAACTCTGTTTCCCCTTTCCAACATATTTGAACCGTTGAAATTTACAAATTTCTAATCGATTTCGATGATTTTTATTGTTTTTAGATAAATTAGTTTTCTTTCAATCAATCATTAGTTCAATCAAGAAAAAATGTATACTTTTTGAGTTATTCGCATTTAAAATTCATTTTCCTTCATCTACGTTTCCGACTGCTCCAACACTTACTAGACAAATGCTATAAACTTTCAATTAATTACAAAAGATTCATCTACATAACTATAATAAGATCTATATGGAAATACAGACTGCAGCTTTGCGGTTACCAAACCATCGAATTCATATCGTATCCACTCCTTACAATCTAAAACCCTTAATGTCATATTTTGTCGCAAATAAAACCATTCATAAAGACCTCAATGTTCCATATGTAGCTGATTTAGCCCGTGCCAGATACCTATCCTTTCATGATAAACTCCAGTCCCATCCGAATCCACTTGTTTCCAGCCTTGCTCCTTCCTCGATTCCTGATAACCTCCTAGGCATCTGAAGAAACTGCTTTTGTTTCACTATCAAAGTTACTTGCTAGCTTTCCCACAGGCTCTGGCGCTTGAAAACGTTCTACATAAATACCAGCTATCTCACTCTTTCTTGCACATTCGCAGAACTGTCTGTTTTCTCTTGTAACCCTGGGGGACTTGGGTGCCTCTTCCTAATGATTTTAAGCGCTAAATTCCTTAGTTCCATCTTAGAGCAACTTTGCTCGTTGATTGGTTGAAGGACCTGTAAATTGATTTATGCTGATTTTGTAGAGACCCTTGGTGGGTTTGTCATGAATTGTATTCAGTTGTAAATTTCATTAAAACAACAAAAATAATTTTTTTTTTGTTAAATTTTGTTGGGTCTTGACTATTTCCATCTGAAGTAGAAGAAGATCTAGTGTTCCGACAAAAAACATTAGAAATTATATATAAAGATAATTACAAAAGAATCAAACAAACAGTTTTTACACACACATAGATAATTATTGGTCTCTGTAACCTTCTCAGTTTTTGCTTATCATCACACCTGGAGGATAATCTAATTATTGCATCGATTATAGAATTATTATTCATGCAACCAACTCGAAACCAATTTGGAGATTTTTAGGTTGTTAGCCTACGCCAATACAATACAATAGATACATTTCACTATCCATTAATCCAATGAACCATTATAGTTTTATTATTTTGTTAATATCTCTAATAAAGAAAGGGAATGCCATAATAAATTAAACATTAATGATTATTATTATCTTCAATTATCATAGATATTATGCTTATTTCGATATTCGATCATCGCTATACAATCTAACCTTAACGTTACGTATAAATTTGGTTATATTTTTTTATTTATTTTTTCGGTATGCTTAAATGAATGTTATAAATGAACAATTTGCCTATTTGAATCACGGTTTATTAGTTGTATTGAATTCTAGATATTTTATCGGATAAACTCAGCTACTTCTGACATTTTATGTACAAATGTGATCGAAGTGATCTTGACCAATTGTCACCTAGAGGGTACCCTTTGAACCTGTGAAACTTTGAATCTATATCATCCTTTCTATAGAATTATAAGTTTTTTTTTTTGTTTTTTTTTAAGACCCTCACTGAAGTCTTATACTGCCCCTATTGTTATATTAAAATATAATGGAGATATAGATGTTCATTATTATTATTTATTTATTTATTATTCAAAAATCTTTTTTGGATTCTCTAATAAATTTTCACAATGCCATAATGGTATCCCTGTCTGAATTAGCTAGCCCTTGGTGGAAAGCGCTGGATGAGGGAGTATTTATCATATCTCTAGCATTTTAAAATAATGTGCAATGGGTCCTGGAGTTATATGTCGAACATTTGTCATTTTTTTCAACTTTAATTATTGTCAATCCGCGATTTGTTCGACCATGATTAATTTTCAGTCTTGTAAGTAAGACTATTTCTTTTCTGGTTAACTTAACACAAGTGTTAGCGAACCGTGGGCGTAGAGAGACGTTATAGGTTGGATAGTGAAATGATCTTTACCTCTCGAACTTGACTCCCACACACACTTAACCTGCCATTCACTAATAAATTGTTCTTTCTCCCATCTATAAATTTCCTGTGTAGGCAGTTTCGCATTTTTATTCCTTTCAGAAGAATTATTAGATACCTTAATATAATATTTTAAGATCTCATATTATAAGAACTATATTATCACAATATATTTTATATAGATTATGTTGTGGAATGGAAATCAAAAGTTCTGTTCTACTCTTACTTATTAACTGAGAAATTTATAGAACTTACCGGATCGTAACCCGGCAGAGGTGGGTCTGGAGGTAGGAACATTTTATTTTATTTTCAAATTTAAATAATTGCGAGCTTGAATGTCAATTTTTTTCGCCTAATTCGTTTTTTCACTACTAAGTTAATTGAACTATGTGTACGCGTTATAACCTCAAAGAACATATGTATCTAGCGCTTTGACCTACATAAATATATCGATTAATATTGACTGTAAACACGTTAAAATTGTATATATAGTTTATTTTTGTATATTAAAATTTTATTCGGAATGAATCATAAAATCCTTGGATATGCATATGATTCATGTCCTTGGAAGTAATTATGATAATATTGAGAAACTCTCTGAGGCTCTCAATATTATCTGAAATAAAGGCAAAACAAAATATATGATAATAAGCCCAAAAAAACCACCGAGCAATAGGATTTGTGTAGAAGGGATGTCGTTTCCAGAAGTTGAAAAATCTAAATACTTCGGATCCACTATAACCTCAATGAATGAGCGACATGTGGAAATAGACCAGCGTATAGCAAGCTTGAGTATGTAGCCTAAATGGGACCCTACACGATAATTCATGAATGAACGTCACAAGAAGTTCCAAGATTGCCCGCTATCGCTTTGATCATGAAGACCCTTACACGTTCAATCATTACTGATCATTACTTATCGTTGCTGATACCAATTTAGCGCAGTTGTAAACAAAGAAACAGCATATATATGCTTATTTGGACATTGCCATTTATAATATTGGGCATCAAGAGAAAAACGGAGATATAATAATTACTTCCTAGTGCCTGAAAATCGTTTAGACCAAAGTTAGAGAAATATAAGTCAACTACATACAAAAATCTAGGAAAAGTATTGCGAAAATAATCAATTTGTTAAGAAAAATGGAAAAATTAATGGCAAATAAACACAACAGTTAAAGATTTTTTTCTATAATAAATTATGAAGTTTCCACTTTTTTTTCTCTCCAATTTATTGCCTATTTGACTATTTAAAGAAAAAATAGTTGAAAATGGTTAATAATAATATAGACTAGGGATATAAACAACTATTTACTTTCATGAAATTATTTACTTAATAACGAGACCTAGGTAAACCAACCTATAGTTAGTAAAATATAAGTCTACTACTTACAAAAATTAAGGAAAGGTATTGCGAAAATAATAAATTTGTTGAGGAAAATGGGAAAAGTGATAAATATACACAACGTTAAAGTTTTTTTTTTCCTAAAGTAAATTGAAAAGTTTCATTTTTTTTTTTAATTTGTTGCCCACTTGACTATTTAAAAGAAATAGTTGAAGATGGTTTAAAATTATAAACAAGGGATATAAAAAATTATTTAGCTATTTACATATAATGAAAATCAGAAATTTATAATGGTTGTGAGAACTAGGTAACCTAACCTATCCAGCAGTATGGTTGGTCTCCCCAGCCCATATGTTTAGTCGGTTTCCCCTCCACTTCTCGTGAATGAACCTTTGATTTCCGGATGTTCGGAAATCCGCAGCGCACCACCATCAATACTTCATTCACTACCTTACATGACAATTCGGAACGTCATTAGTGCAATTCCGATTTACCCTTAAAACATACGTTTCTAACGTAATACATTGTCTTAAAAAAAAAATGTATAAAAGTTTTTAATTGATTAAAAAAAACACAGTTTAAAAGGCTCGTTTAGACATTTCACAAACTATGGAAAACGCAATTATCTAACTTGACTAATAAGCAGATGGAAAACCTAAAAAACGCTAGCATAGGATAACAACCATTTAAATATTTGTGTTTCTCGTAGTTTGTGAAATTACTAAACTCGACCTTAACTTATTATTTCCCTTTTTACGAGACAAATTTTAATTGACCAACTTTTTAATAATAGTCATAGAGTAAACACAGTACATTCGATAATAAAAAACTATAATTCTGAAGTTTCGAGGCTTGAGGGAAGCCTTCATAGCATTCAAACATTCTTTATTTATTTTATATAATTTTTTTCCCGTTTACTACTTATGAAACTTTGTTCTATACATTTACATGCATAACTTCTAACTTTGTTTTATCGTGTATTTTTTAACAAACCAAACTTTGTTGTAAACAATTTTTTTAGATATATCTAAACTGCAACAATTTATTTATCACATCATTGTTTTACACAACTTGAGATGAATCGCAAATGTTTCTTTAATAAACCAAAACTTAATTGGTTATAATATTATTAAACGAAATTTTATTTTTAAATTTGTGGTATCTGCAGAAAAATTGTGCGATGATTAAAAAAAAATCGCTAATAATTAATATGTTTTTAACAAACAAGACTTAGCTTAGTTTAGAAGTACTCTTTAAATGGTTTTAACAATGACCAGCTCTATTTTTCTTTGTAGTAATTTTTTTCTAGTTTACAGGCAAGCAGTTGTTAGTTATTTAATTAAATATTTTTTTTAGTTATCTCCATTAAAAAAAAACAGGACTTATTTAAAAAAAAATACCAAACTTTGATTTACTAATTTTCTGCTCTCTGCAACCAATATTATAAATATTTCTCTCTACTTACAGGACTAGAATCAATAAAACCATTATCTTACCTACATCTTTATGGATGCGAAACTTAACCGCTTACGTTAAGGGATTAGCAACGTCTTAAGGTTTTTGAAAATCAAGTATTGCGTAGAATATTCGGACCGAAGAAATCGATTGAAATTTGTAAATTGGAAACAACTGGCTGAAGAGCATATAGAGTTCAAATATTTTTAAAAGAGAAGCGGAGTTGAGATTTCTATTTCTATAATTTGTATTCTAACAAACATAAACATTGGTATTCTCAGACAAACTCGGAACTCCTCGTACAGGCGTGATTAAAGTAATCTTGGTTCACACGACATCCCGATGGAACATTTGTGAACTGGTGTCAAGGAAGACAACTTATTAAGAATAAATTTCTTGATGTAATATACAAGTAAAACAGAATAATCCTATTTTATGGATTTAAATATATATACAGTATATAGTTAGTAAAACTGTTCCTAGCAACCAGTGATAAGATAACGAGAAGAATGTTACTATTACAGTTTGGAACCCGCAGCATTAAAAAACTATTAAATAAATTGAGTCAAATTAATATTTCATAATCAAAATTCTTTATCCTTCGAAAGGTTCATTGTGGATGCGAATCGTGGCCGCTTACATCGAGGGAAGAGCAACGTATTAAGGTTCTTGAAAATAAAGTATTGCGCAGAATATTCGGACCGAAAAAGGACGAGTCAACCGGAGAGTTTAGACGGTTGCACCACGGCGAATTGCGTGAACTGTATTTGGTTAATATAATTGAAGTAATTACATCGCGGTGAATAAAATTGACTTGTAATATTGTTGGGCTTAGTAGTGAACTAATTTCTAAAAGGTTAATATTTGATGTATCGAATGGTAAACAGAAGAGGAGGTGAGAAGATTGTATTAAAGCCGATCTGAAGGAACTGGATTTGGACGGCGAATGGCGGAGGGAGGTGTGTTATAAGCGATTATTGGTGTCGGCATCGAACCTTCGAGTTCACTAAGCCTTTTATTATTTATTTACATACAGGACATTCTGTATATACATTATGTTTTTATATCGGCAGCAAATAATCTGATATTATGCAAGCCAATATCATAAAAGTTTGGGTAAATTTCCAATGTCCAAGCGGGTTTTTGTTTTTATTCTTAAGCGGACCCTACACGGTAATTCATGAATGAACGTCACAGGAATGGCAAAGATTGCTCGGGATCGCTTTGATCATGAAGACTCCTACACGTTCAATCATTACTGATTATTACCTATCATTGCTGAAGCCAATTTAGCTCAGTTGTAAACAAAGAAACAGCATATACATGCTTATTTGGACATTGTCATTTATAATATTGGGCATCAAGAGAAAAACGGAGATATAATAATTACTTCCTAGTGCATGAAAATCGTTTAAACCAAAGTTAGAAAAATATAAGTCAACTACATACAAAAATCTAGGAAAAGTATTGCGAAAATAATCAATTTGTTAAGAAAAATGGAAAAATTAATGACAAATAAACACAACAGTTAAATATTTTTTTTCCATTTTTCTTCTATAAGTAAAATGCAAAATTTCCACTTTTTTTTTTTCAATTTATTGACTGCGTAACTATTTAAAGAAAAAATACTTGAAAATGGTTAATAAAAATATAAACTAGGGATATAAACAACTATTTAACTATTTACTTATAATGAAAACCAGAAATTTATAATGGTTGTGAGGCCTAGGCAACCTAACCTATCCAGTAGTATTGTTAGTCTCCCCACTACTTTTACCTCAGTCCCCCCTCCACTTCTCGTGAATGCACCTTTGATTTCCGGATGGTCGGAAATCCGCACCACCATCAGTACTTCATTCACTACCTAACACGATAATTCGGAACGTCATTAGTGTCTCGGAATGCAATTCCGAATGACCGTGTAGAGTCCACATTAAAATCTTTTATCACTCCTATAAAAATTGTCCTCTACTTACAAGTTTATATTACATATATGCTAAATAAAAGTAAAGATAATATCTCTTTTCTTGTATTTATTTTATCCCACAGCTGTTTGAATAAGTCCACCGTACAAACACTGGTGAAACCGACATCAAGGAAAAATTATAGCATGAATCTTAGCTTGATGATTCATATGGACTAAATAAACTTGACCGTTCAAACAGACTCTTGGCTTATACATGTTTAACATCTTTGGCATTGCGTTTGGGCCGGACCTCAGAGGTAAAACAAGGGAGGACAAACCTCATTAGCCTCCCATGGAGAGGAAGAATCACCCGGAGTATAACTCGGTATAAAGTCTTCCTCGGCTCCTGTCAACTCGACAAATTTAATGGATAAACAGTAAATACAGGGGCTCGGGAGAGGCCTAACTGACTTACCTTCAAAGTGGAACTGCAAACAAGTTTACTTTATACACTCCCGACCCCCCACCTTTCCCTTACCCAGGCCCCCCCCAACTTCTATTCTCCATCTCTCGGCTCCTTCCTTATGCCTTTTATAACTAGTTCTTTAAGCGTAAACGTCGCTTATCCTTTACTTTCATACTCGACGGAGTAGGTAAAGCATCCCTTTGAGTAAACATGCTGTGTTACAATACTTTCAAATGTCTGTGTAGATGTTAAGTAGAACGTAGATTCGTTATTCAAACTTACAATAATTAGTGCAGTACAAAGTATTATAAACAATATATCCAGTATGAATCGATTGACAGTAGCAGATTGTTTGCTAATATTTCATTTTTTTTTTATTTTATTTATTTATATTTTATGTAAAGGAAGAAGATGGTCCGGGGTTGCGGTCATAAATAGGCTAAATAGTGGTAAAACTATTTTATTGAATGTCGACGTTTCGACCCGACTTTGCAGCTCTTTATCAGGGCTAGAACGGACAAGATACAAAAAGATAGGGACTTGTGGCAGTTACATAATATTTTGACATAATTTATAAACTATGTGAATAAGCTTATTAAAATTATAAACAGTAAGTACAATAAAATATGAACTAAGTATGCTGAGTAACAAGATCCTAAACTGAAGTATATAGAAGTTAACAATTGTTGTAGTGTAATAAATAAATGAAAATGTGAATATACTTCTACAAAATCTACAGAAGAGATTGAAAGAAAAGGAAAAAGGATATAATATGAAATAATAGACATAAAGGAATGTGGAGAAAGAAAAGAAAAATGAAACCAAAATTAGATAAATAAGTAAGTAAAATTAGAGACTTACAGGTGTGTTCATCTAGGAGTTACACTTAGATTTTGTAGAAGTATATTCACATTTTCATTTATTATATATTACACTACAACAATTGTTAACATCTATTTACTTCAGTTTAGGATCTTGTTACACAGCTTACTTTGTTCATATTTTATTGTACTTACTGTTTATAATTTTAATAAGCTTATTCTCATAGTTTATAAATTATGTCAAAATATTATGTAACTGCCACAGTTCTCTATATTTTTGTATCTTGTCCGTTCTAGCCCTGATGAAGACCTGCAAAGTCGGGTCGAAACGTCGGCTCTCAATAAAATAGTTTTACCACTATTTAGCCTATTTATGACCGCAAGCCCGGACCATCTTCTTCCTTTATAATGCAACGGTCAACTATTAAATATTCTATATTTTATGTAATTTGCAAGTGCGCGGAGGCGCATCAAGCAAATTTGTTGTGTTTGTCTTGGTGTATTTGTTTGATATGGATTTTATTGGTATAGTAGGTCTCTTGGCCATTTTTTTTTTAATCTGCGTTGTTCAGGTAACAGGGAGCAGGAGATAGAAAGAAATAGAGGATTGGAGTGATTTTGGGTTGAAGAATGAAATGTACTGTATTTGTCGTGGATGTAGGATTTTACTGTTGGGATGTTTAAGTCGTTATGGATAGTAGTATTTGAAATGTACCAAGGTGCGTTAACAATTGTTCGTAAAATTTTTTATTGTGCTGTTTGTATTTTGTTTCTGTGAGTTTGTTTTGCTGAACCCCAAAGTTCTGCTCCATATGTCCATATTGGTCTAGTATGGTGTTGTAGATCAGTCGCTTTTTTCGTAAGTTAAGTGAAGATCTGTATTCCAGAAGATGTGAAAGTTCCATAATTTTTCAAGCCATCTTCAGTAACGCTAAATAAGTTTTATAGGCAACCAATTTTTGTGATAACATAGAAAAAAATAAAATAAAATAACTTGAGTAAATAATTAATTTGTATATGTTTCTTAAGACGTTTAAGTGAAAACACATGAAGATATTGTGAAAAACTAGAGAAGTATTGTGATCTATCTTCGAAGTAATAGATTACGAGCATAATATAATTAATAAATTAAAGGAAAGTATAGCGATCGTGAAAATTTTTTAATCTCAGTTTTCAATGGAAATAATAATAAAAAATATATATATATATATATTATTTATATATAAATTCAGGGGTTTTTAAGGTAAGAAACACAAATCTCAACTTTGTTCCTCATTAAAAAAATAATTGAACCTGCTTTACCCCTAAGGTAAAATATTCTAAATATTCTTCCTTCTATTAATAGCTCTGATGAGATCCACCTACGTTTATTTATTGTTAGATTTATTTCTTAATGCAATGAAAATATCCGAAATATTTAAATATAAGTCTGTTTCAACTTCCTGACTATAAGTCTGTTTACTCCTGAACTCTTTGTATGATTTTCTTTATACATTATTCTTTTTCTTCTGTTTTGAGTATAAAACAGAATTTCGACCACCTTCCACAAAGCATTGTGATTAGGTATAATTTGTTGTTATTTTTATTACCTTCTACCTTTTCTATTCATAAAATTCTATTTTTTTTAAATTTTATTTTTTACATATCTTCTGCTCACTCCCCTGTATGTATATATATATATATATATATATATATATATATATATATATATATATATATATATATATATATATATATATATATATAAGTTAAGCGTCGTCGGACTTAGAAAACAAAAAAAAAGAAGGAAAAGGGAAAAGATGTAACATACACGACTTCTGAAATAACACTGCTTTATTCGTTCCATAAGCCTCCTTATATACACTTAGCCTGTTT